TATCATTGCATAGAAATCCCTTGATAAGAATAAGATTTTTCTGACTTGCAATGACTTTGATAGTTTAGAACCGATCTTCAGTTAGGTGCTCAATAAATTATTTGATTTTGCTAACTATTTTTCATGGGCCATTTATTTAGACTCAGGAATTTGTTACAAATGGCTGAAGTTCATGGAGGTTGAGAATCCATTAAGGCCTTTGGGTTTTCCTAGAAAGTGATAATTGATGACCTTTGAGACGGCAGCTTTGATGGGAAGGAATTGCAGCATTATAGTTGTACTTTGTTTGGGTTTTGCTCTTTTTGTCCTTGAGGAAGAGTGGAGACAGTGACGTAGCCCAGTCTTTGAAAAGATTGCTAACAGAGGACACAGAGCACATGCCCACGTGCAAATGTGTGTGTGTCTTTTACAGTGAACTCAGAACAGGGCAAACCCCATAAATTAATACAAATAATAGGCAAAAATTTACTTAGATTTTAAAAACCTAGTCATTTGCAGGTCTTCTCCAAACCAACCGTTCGCTGCCATTGCAGACCAGTTGCAGCAGGTGAGTCGGTATGCTTTGACAGAGGTATTGATAGTACAACTGTCAGTTGTTGTCTGAGCCAGGAAACAAAAAACGTCTAAGTTGGCTTGGAGTCAGAAATTTGTTATGATCTTGGCTCAACTCCAGCTTTGTGACTGGGCCTGCTGCTTAGCTCTCAGGGATTCGTAGTCCCCACATGTAAAGCAGGGACTCTCACCTAAGCCATTTGCTCCAGTGGGATGAATGTATATGTGAAAGCCCTTTGAAAACTGCAGAATACCATAGAAATATAAGAATGGTATTTATTTCAGTGTTTTAATTTTCCAGTCATCTTCTTTAGTTTTGTTGATTTGTCCTATAGGTTAAAAGCACTTATAATAACATGGAAACCTTTATTTGCTTTATCAAAGCCTCCAGTGCTTTCCATCCAATCCTTGCTATAAGATATTTTCATGTATATATCCGATCTCTCCTTTTTTGGAGGGGGTGGTGGTAGAGGTTCTGTTCGTTTTAAAATTTGTTTTAAAGAAAAATATTGTCTTTAATATTACCCTGAATTTTTGTTCCATATTCTAGTGCAAATGATTTTTTGTTTGTTTTCATTCTGTAAATATGCATTTAATTCAAGGTGGAATTTTGTTTTTTTTTCTATAGGAGCAAAAAAGCTTATCCGTATGAGTAGTATAAGAATTCAGCTATGACACTGTGAGTTTTGTGTGGAGATAAATAACCTGTGAGGTTTCACAGTCTCCCAGTTAGGTTTTTAATAACTCCAAATGCACTTACGTTTTCTTACATACAATTAAGTCAGTCTCTATATCTTATTTCCTTATATAACCGTATAAAATTATGTTGGGACTCATCTACTGTAGCTCTGTGCCGTACTTGCGTTCAGACTGTTTTCTCTCTTCTTTAGCCACCGGAATGCAGTGGGTATATGCATTATATACAGATACACCAGGTGGCAGCAGAATGTCATGGAAGGAAGTTAGGCATAGCACTGTTGCTTCTAAAATTCAGGTCCTTGTGTATAGTTAAAAACAAAAAAAAGAAGTGATAATCACCATTGTGAACAACACATATAAGAAGCAGAGAGTTACGTTGTTAGGTGCCGTCGAGTCAGCAGAGCTTCCAGTATCACAGCAACACGCAAGCCACCATAGTACGACAGACAGACACGTGGTGGCAGAGAGATACGGCGGTGAGAAAACGGAAGAGTAAGGTGAAGACTCCTAGCCCAGACAAGAGTGGCCTTACTAAGACAGGGGCCTCCCAGGGCTGTGCGCATCAGACAGTCCGAGAGATGATGATGTGGGATGCTCCAGAGCCACATGACAGTGCAGTCTCAGGCTGCCCCGATGCCACATTTCAGTAGACTTGGAGAGGCAGCTCAGGAACGACGGAACTGGCCAGTGGGAGCTGTGGTGTTGCCTTCTGTAAGAGCTGTGTTAGAACTTAACTTCTGTGTATCTGTACAAGGCGTCTGATTATAGGTGTGCTGGGCTTTTCTGCAGTCACCCATAAGCACGTGATTATATAGGTCAGAAGAGAAAAACATTCTGAGAATATAGTGGTAGAATTTCCAGTGAATTTTATTTTCTGACCTTTTAGAATGTGTAATGTTTCTTCTCAAACCTTATAGTTCTTCTTTACCTACTCTGCTTCCTTTCTTTTCTCCCACTGATTTTGCCGCTCAGCAAAATCTCCCATCCCATACATCTCTCTTTATTTCTATCTCAGGCTTCAGTTTGACTCTTCTCGGCAACCCTTTGTATATTACTCCAGAAATTCTTTATAAGAAGCATGGTATTACTTATTCCTCATTTTGAGTTCTTAGGAGACCTTGAACCTGCTTAGAGGCTGAAGGCAGGGCAGCAGTGATGGACATACTATCTTGTAGCAGTTCCATTGATGCCATTGTGTTTGGTAATTTATATCAAATCATGTGATCACAAAGGAAAAACAAAATACAGTGTCTGAGTTACCTCAGAGGTGCCCTGGTGATGCAATGGTTAAGTGCTCAGCTGGTCACCGAGAGGTAGGCGGTTCAAACCCACCAGCGGCTTAGTAGGAGAAAGACCTGGCGATCTGGTCCTGTAAAGATGACAGCCTAGGAAACCGTATGGGGCGGTTCTCCTCCGTCCTGTAGGGTCTCTGTGAGTCAGAATCGACTCACTGGCACACAGCAACAACAGATTAACTCAGGAAGAACCACATGCAGAAGATCAGATATTTTCAACCTGAAAACTCTAGCAAAACAGCATGCAGTAATTCGTCATAGCTGAGTATGTGTGTTCTGTCCCTCCAGCCTTCCTGCAGTAGAAGCTAAGTGGCTCCCGCTGGGTGGTGCACAGTCACTGAATTTCTGTGTGGCTGGAGAGATAGCACGTTAATTTACATGACAGTAGTACAAGACCCTGTAAATGCTTAAGGCTGATATGATGGAAGCTCAGTCACAACTGGTCGTAAATTTCTGTAGCGCAAAAGAAAGAAGGATAAGTAGAAATAATTGGAGTAATAGTTAAGATTTTAAGGAAGCAGTATAATGTTCCAGCAGGCCTTGAAAGATAAGACTGTTATTGGGGGGTGGGGGTAAAGAAGGGAAGGTTAAGGGAAGTGTTGCAGTGGAGGGCCCTGTTTGCAGGAAAGCATGGAAGACAGGTGTGCCAAAGTATGCTCAGAGATTGGAGACTGGGCATATTGGATGTGAGCACTGGATAAGTTAGGGAGCGGGTGAAATTACTGTGGTAGGATCTGACCTTTTTAGTTTAGAAAGCAGTGGGGAGCATTGGATTTGGGGAGTAATGTGGAAGTTTTGAGAAGCTTAATTTGTTGGAGGTATATAGGGAAAATTGGATGGAGGCACAGGGAAAATTGTAGAAAGGTGTATCATCAGTCAGGATGGGCAGAGTCCAGTGGTTCTCAACCGGTGGTGATTTCGCCCCCTCTGTGTAAACATTTGACAGTGTCTGGAGACATCTTTGCACTTTTAGTTGTCACAACTGGGGCAGAGGGCGAGGGGTGCTACTAGCATCCAGCTGGTAGAGGCCAGGGATGCTGCTAAACAGCCTGCAATGCACAAGATAACCCTCCACAGCAAGAATTATCTGGCCCAAAACGCAGCAGTGCCTGCGTTTAGGAATCCTGGACTAGGTTATGCCATGGTAACAATCCCAGATTCTTAGTGGCCATGACAGTAAAGATTTCTTTTTTGCTCACTCTGCCCGTGCATTGGGAGTTGACTGGAGGTTCCGCTTCATATTGTCTGTATTCTGGAGTCCAAGCTGCCGGAGCAACCACTGTCTGGAGGATTGCTCATTCTTTATTGGCCAGAACTAGTTACGTAGACCCTGCTTCCACAAAGGGACGAGGAATTACAATCCTACCAATTGCCCAGAAAGGGAGAAAAGTACAATGTTTGATGAACAGCATTGATTATTCTCAGGGAGGGCTACTTTGGACTAGAGGAGAAGTGAGTAAGAGAGAAACCAGTTTCTTTATCTAAATGTCAGGCTTCTTTTAGTTCCGCAGTCTTTACCTCTTCAGTAGCATAACATCATAGTGTATACAATATGGGATTGGAAAGATGATGTGTTGCCAGATTATAAAGTGGTTTAGTGCTGCTAGACTAAGATTCTAGACCTAAGCTTACCACCTGTTGGGAACATTACAGGTGTGTCTTGATATCGAGTTCCTTAGCTCTTCAGGTAGCTAGACAGGGCCGGGGCAGTGAGAGCCTGCAGCGTGAGCAGCCTTTTCCATTTAGCTCTGTGTACCATGCATGTATGATCATTTTATATATGCGCCATGATGTGAAAAAGCTTGGGAAGCTCTGTGTTTGTCAGTGGACTCTTTAAAAATTATAATTAGAACAAAAAATGATTTATTTTAGAAATAACTCTAGTTGCAGTGTGGAAGCTAGATTGGAAGGGAGAGCTGTATTAGGAGGATGAGTTAGGAAGCTATCCTAAGCGCCTCGATAAGAAATAATGAAGATTTTTCAGTGATGGCACTCTTGAAAATGAATAGGGCAGTGTGAAGACAAAGATGAATTTAGTGATGTGGAGGAGAGTGGAGTTTTATGAAAAAGCCCTGTCAGAACAGTGATTGAGGGTAGGATTATAATTGTAAGCATTTTGGGACTTATCGGTGTTTGTGTGTATGTGTGTGTGTGTGTGTGTGTGTGTGCGCGTGCGCGTGCGTATTAAACTATTACTTAACAGTTACTGATGTTGCTGTTCTAAATGTCCTTTTGTCAACCTTATTTCGGTTCCCTCCATCAGTTTTATTTTGCAGTCTGCATCATGAAATTTAAAAGTCTGACAACACATTGCTTTATATATTTAGAGCAAAAAGACAAACTGCCTTAATTTTCTGAAATTTTTGAAATCTGAAGTATGTAGAGTTTAGAAATGAAAATCAGTATACTGTTTCTAACTAGCAGATAACAGGAGAAAAAAAATTTTTATTTTAGATGAAGATCGACTTTCTAGAAGAAAAAGTATTGTGGACACTGTATCCATTCAGGTGGATATCTTACCCAACAGCGTCCCTTCTGATGATGTGGTAAGTTGTGGAAAGTTTATGGAGTAGGAGTATTGCCTTGAGGTAGACATCATTTAAAAAATGTTTTTGCTCCTCCACACTTTCAAACAGGAAAGTCATAAGTCCTGAGTTATCCTATAATTAATTAAGTTTTTAATTGAAAATAATGAGTTTAGTCTTGAACTTATTTATAATTTATTTTACTGAACTCCTTTTGGCTATCTATAAAGATTCGTAAGCTTGATGTTGTATGTTGTAATATTGTTAGATTTCATGCTGTAATTCAGTGGGGAAACCTTGTCAAAGGAACTATAAATCAACTACTAAGTGAGATTTGTAAGTAAGAAATGTTACAAAAGGTATGTTGTTAAATTTATTTTTAAGACTTCCTGAAGCATAAATTATGGGAGTAAATGGAATTATATCCTCTCACATGAAGCCAAAAACTCATCCCTGATTTGAGAACGTTTTCAAACTTCACCTATGCGGGATGATTTTATCAATTTGGGTACTAAATATAATGAATTCAGTGCAGCTTAGGCTGTATCAGTGAACTATGTGCTTTTTAAGGACTGTGACTTACTTGAAGCATCATAGATTTAATGCTCTCCTCCTGTTTCAATAGAGCACAAGAGTGTACCCTCCTGAGTTATAGGAAGAGAAAGCAGCCAGTATTCTCTAAGACTTACTCCACACAAATCACCAGAGACTTTTTTGATAGTCAAATAAAAATGCCGAAATGCCAGCCAGTCAAGTCAGCCTCCTCCTTGTGCTTTATCTGTTGTTTGCCTTCCTAGGTATTTCATTATTTCTCATTGGTACAGTAGAAATAATTAATAGAATATCCATGTAAGAAAAGGGAAGGAAGTTGTCTGAATTCATACTTTCTCGGCCTGTTTTCCCCTTCCCGTCTCTACCTGTTAATTTGTCTTCAGGAATTAAAACTATTTGCTGGCCAGGGTTACAGCTGACATTTTCTGTGATGCTCAACTCTCTGTTATGTAAAATTAATCAGTTTATTAAGAGATTACCAGCAGAACACCATGTGTACTTGAACAGACAGTGTTCATTGTGAAGCTTGGGGCTGTAAGTTAGATTATAAGGCTGGTTTGATGTTTTGTACCAATATAAGGCTCAAGAACAATCATCTGTCTTCCCTAAATTCACCTCTTCCTTCAAAGCCATTTCAGTTTATACACTCCTTACAGGGTCTCTGTATGGTCGCTATGAGTCCGAATCAACTCAATGGCAATAGGTTTGATTTTTTTTTTTTTTTTAGTAAGAGGGTATGTCTTTTAATGATTATGTATTATTTGTGGGAAGAAATACTTCCAAAGCCTAAGTTTATAGACTTTTATTTTTTCAAGCGTGCAATATATTTTATTGGCATGATTCCATTCTCCTTTTGTTAACTATTTTTGTTTCTTTCAAAAATATTTATACTGCATTTACCATTGTTGCACAGAATCAGTCTGTTTTGGTAAAGTGAACTGAAAAAACATATAAAACCTTAATGTAGGAGGAAGATCCTTGAACATGAGTATTACATTAAAAGTTCATTAATATATTTGTTAACTTTTTTAAAGTCCAATTAATTGTTTTCCGTTGGTTATACTTATAAGTCTTCAGTCGAATGTGGCTCACAATGAGTATCTGAAAAGTTAAGTTACTCTGATACCGGATTTAGCTGAGCACATTGGAGTTTCAGCCTCATTTACCAGTATGGAATCAGCACATACTTATTAGACATGTTTGCTCAAATGCCAGAAGGCAGGATAACATTACCTTCTAGCTTAAAACTAATTAATTAATTAATTTCATAGCATGGACAGCAGAAAGTGCCATCAGTTAGGTGTTTACCAGTTAATAGTATAACAAACTATCAGAATCTGAATGGTATTTTTTTAACAGTGAATTAGGTAAGAAAATCACTTATTCAAAAAGAAGCATTGCTCTTGTATCTGGTCAGAATTATTTGAAATTTTATATACATAATCCCAGTTTGTCTTCAGATATATCTGATTTTTAGAGTGTAATTAAAAAAAAAAAAAATAGCCAGAAAGGTGTTTAAATGGAGACCATACCAAACTTCTATTTTCCTTAGATATAACTCAGATTCTTAGCATAGTCTATTGAATTTCTTGCTCCACTTGAAATGTGTTGGTTCTAACATTTGCAATTTAAACCTTAGCCCACCATGAATCACTTAGTGAACTTTTTCTAAGTGTTACCATATATAGATAGATAGATACCGTATTTATATGAAAATAGTGCACACTTGCTATCTTTGTTTGCCAACCGCACCTCCCCTCTCAAGGTATTTTTGTAAGCACACTATGCTAGTTTTTTTTACAGCAACATGTAAAAAAAATTGACATAGTGGCGCTTGTGAAAATATCTCTCTGGAGGAGGGCACGATTGGCAAACAAACGTAGAAGATGCAAGTTATTTGTGTACAAATATGGTAGATAAAGTTGTCTAAATTAAATTAAGATATTCAAAAACATAAATAACTAAAATAGAATAGAGACTTTTCTTTGATTCCTGAGTTAAAATTATCAGGTTGACTAATAGAAGAAAGCATTTTGCGTGTGATTCTTTGATCTCTTATACAGGCAGTCCCCGACTCTGTTGTAAGTCAGTTCTGACGTAAGTCAAATACCTCTTTTTTTTTTTTTTTTAAGTTTTTGTTATTATTGCCTTTTGTTATCAGTATCTTTATAATCTGATCTTTGTCAGCATCGGTGTCATAACAGTGAAGTCGGAGTTGTAATGACTGTCGGGCGCGTGCGCAGTTCAGTTGTCATATGTCGTTAGAGTTGAACGTTGCCCAACTTTGTTTGTTACGACTTCCAACACCAACATTGACGCTGTCGCCAACTTCATTGTAGACCAGGCCATAGGCTGCTATTCAGCAGTATTTTGATCAGTAAATCATAAAATTGAACATTTGCAAGTGAACATTTGAGAATGATAACACCAGCAAATTATGCACTGCAGCATTGTGTGTAGTACATATTACTAACGATAAAATGTACAGAACAAACAGTCATAAGTGCAGTTCATTGTAACTCAAATATATTGTAAGTTGGGGACTACCTGTATATGCATAATAGATATGGGTGAAACCTTTTATCACCACTCAGTAATTTTCTCTAGAAGGTCATGTTGTTGTTGTTAGGTGCCATGAAGTCGGTTCCAATTCATAGCGACCCTATAGGACAGAGTAGAACTGCCCCATAGGGTTTCCAAAGAGCAACCAGTGGTGTTTGAACTGCTGAGCTTTTGTTTAGCAGCCCAGCTTTTATGGGGAATTGATGAGAATTACATGTATTAAATTTTGAGTACTTATTAAATTTTTCTTTGTACAAATTTAAGTTAACTAGTTGGCTAAAAAGAATTATTTTTTATTCTAGGCCAAATAGCAAATCTTTGTTTTATACATATTCCTTCCCCTTTCCTAAATACAACTGAAGAAATCTGTATATATGCTAACAAAACAAAGAATCTAGCATTAAGTCCGTATTAATCAGAACCTGCTGTGCTAGATGCTGTAAAACTACTAAGGTCTGACATAACAACGACTCTGATTGGAAAAAGATGAACAGCAGATTTTATGCAGGCCCAGGGGCATTATACTGTCTTATGTTAGAGTTATGGATCATACATAAGTCACAAATACTAAAATAAACTTTGAAGTTTTTTTTTAGGAAGGTACCTCATTAGAGACCAATGCACCATTTCTCCATATGTCCAACACAAATAGTTTTTCCCCTGGAGTTGGAACAGACTGTAGTTTGGTGGAGCACCAAATGAAATAAGTGGCTTGCATTTAGCAGCTACATTGTATGAAAAATATGAATCATTGAACGTTAGTATAAAGCAATTTTTTTGGCCTTTTTTCCCTCCCCCCTTAAATAAGATTCACAGAAGGGAAGAGTGGGAGACAAGATCGGAGCCAAATTATAGAGAAGGTTTTTATCACAGGCTGAGGACTTAGTGTATGATTTGGTAGGAAGTGGAGAACCACTGACATTCGGGCAAAGTCATTATCAGAGGTATGCTTTCATAAAAGGATCTCTAGCAAGTGTGGCCAGGCTGAATTGGAATGTAGTGACTGGAGGTAGAGAGGATGGTTAAGAGATGCTGGTAATAGTCCACACTTAGATGGCAAGGACCTGAGTGAGAGTAGCCAGGCTGGAGATGAGGAAGAGGGACAAGAGAGGAGGAGTGTTATGGAGGTGGAGTGGATAGGACCAATAAGAGACTTACTGAGGTTAGAAAAGGGTTACAGGAGGGTGGGGGGAGGCAGACAGAAGCTGGAAGAATGTATCATAATTACCCAATTATGAAAAACAAGAATAAATAGGAAGAATTTGTAGGGTAAGGAACTTTAGCTTTTTACTCCTCTGGGAGTAAACCGGTAATAAGTGAAAATTCTACATAACAAGAATGCTGGCCCTAACTTCTTCTGTGTTCTTTCTCCTGTGTTGTAATTGTCTTTCAAAAGTCTAAAGCTCTTACCCAGTTCTAAGAAGAATGGTGGGTTGTCTTTTCATTGAAATATTAGATTTCTTCTAGGTACAAATAATTGACCAGCTAGAGCCTAATCTTGTATGTCTGCTCCAAATATCTAGAACAAAGCAACTGAAGATTCCCAAGTGTAATCTGACTTCAACTAAAAATATGAACCCTCAGTAGAAACACTGAGGTAGTGGAACTCTTGCCGCTTGATTTCCAGCTAAAGCCTTTGTATTACAGAGAAGCTAAGGTGCAGAGCATGAAGTATTTTGCTTTCATTAGTCTTGCTGCCTTAGACTTAGCCAAAGAAGTCCATGGGCTAAAAGTAGGGATGACCAGAGTCCCAGGCAAGTACTCATGTATCATTTCTTAATTTTCTCAGGGATACTGTAGTGAATGGATATATTAATCCTTCTGAAAATGTGCTGGTGCCACAAAGTCTATTATTGACTTTTTTTTTTTTTTTTCCCCCACCTTAAAGCAGTTTATTTTATACCTTTAGCATACCTAAAAGCAAGAGAAAAATTTGAGGGACCCATGTTGAAGACTATTTCTGGAAGAATAAAACTTGGTGGTTGGCCTTACAAGATCTAAAATATGCCTATTTTAAGATGTTGATTAACTATACTTATTGAACACTTCCCAAAGCGGTGATTCTTTTAAATCATTTAAAGTCTTATTTTATTTTTTATTTGTAAACTACACGTGGTACCAAAATTATAGAGACTGTAGAGTACTTAATTCTCATTTCTCATGTGGCTAAAAATGTATTTATATATAATCTCTGCCCTGAATATCTCAAAGCATTGTTCATTTGTGAAGAGTAGTTCAACCAGTGGAACTCAGCCTGGTTGCACATCAGATTCCTGGAGGTTGAGTTCTGTCATTCAAGGGTTGGGCTGCCCAGTGGATGCTCGTTCACTCACCCAGCTGAACACTGATGTTCAGATGCATATTTGGAAACCACTGCAGTAGGCCATTGTTACAACCAGTGACAAAGTGGAAATTATTTGTTACTGTGGAGTATTACCACAAATCAAGCCAAAACAAAGGAGAAAATTTAAATTGTAAAGTTCTCAGATTACTTGTAACTAGCTGAAGGTATTCTTTATATTGACCTTTCTTAATTCTTTATTTTACTTAAAATCACTTTTCTCTAGGTTAGTAACACTGAAGAAATCACCTTTGAAGCATTGAAGAAAGCAATTGGTGAGATTTTTTGTACTTACTAGCTCTTCTAACATTTTCCTAGCTCATCTTTATCATGGTGCTTGTTTAGATGCCAGGATATATAGAGGCAGCAAAGCAAAATAAATACTGTTGGTTTCTTTATAAATATATAATTGATTTGGCTATGTTCTTTAGACTTCTAATTGCCTTATCACATCATAGATAACTCTTTTCCTCCAGAGAGCCTGGCTGGATTAGAGCTATGAAAGCATAATCACAGTCTCTCTTGGTGGTGCCCTTCTTTGGTGGCCAGAATTCTGGTAATCTTGACTTTATAGGCTGTATGAATCTGGAAGGAAATAAAAAAGACTTGTGAGAAGTAGTCTACACAGTGTCTTTTGTAGGAGAGCTGTGGAAATGAGAACTCTGAGAAAACTAAATATACTGGTTTTTAGCAGGCACAGAGTAGTATAATTAGACATTTGTTTGTAAGGGGGTAAGAGAAAGAAGCTGAGATTGTTAGCTGGCAGCTAAAGAAGTGAAGTCTATGCTACCCCAGCATACGTAGCACTTTTTCTAATTATATATGCACATGCAAAAAAACCTGACCTTTCTTGCCAAGTGTTTTTAGCTTCATCCATTAGAGGATATTTTGCTATTATGACACAATATCAAATATGCCAGAATAAAATTAATTCAGTAAGCATTTTCAAATACTCTGATGTGCAAGATACTTTGAGGGATTCAAGGATTAATAAGATGTTGAGGAGTTTACAGCCTAAAGCAGTGGTCCTCATACTGTGGTCTGTGGACCCCTGGAGGGCCTGGAGGAGACTCTTCAAGGGATCCTTGAGATTATTTTCATCATAATATTGAGACATTCTTTGCCCATTTAAAGTGTTAATGAATTAAAGCAGTGGCACCAAACTATGCTAATGGTCATCATATTCCTCAGTACCGTACACTCGCAATTAAAAAAAAGCAAAAGCAAAATTTACTTAAGAATGTCTGTGATGAAGCAGTATAAATTATTAATTTGACTAAATCTCAGCCCATGAGCACATGACGTCTTCTGTGTGATGAAATGGGAAGTACACTTAAAACACTTCTGAGAGTTAAGTTGCAAGCTGAACTTGCCTTTTCTACATGGAACACCGTTTTTACTTTTAAAAAAAAAAAAAGGACTGACAAAAAGCCTTTGGTATTTGGCAGACACTTCCTCAAAAAGAAGTAAAGTGAGTGTCATTTCAAGGAAAAAAAAAACCGTGTTTGCTGCCCATGATAAAATTAGCACTTTGGAATTTTAGGACTTGTATCTGCCACTTTGGAAACCTCGGTGGCATAGTAGTTAAGAGCTACAGCTGCTAACCAAAAGGTTGGCAGTTCAAATCCACCAGGTACTCCTGGAAACCCTATGGGGCAGTTCTACTCTGTCCTCTAGGGTCGCTGTGAGTTGGGATTGACTCGATGGCAGTGGGTTTGGTTTTTGGTTTTGGTCTACCACTTTAATAGCTCCCCAATATTTAGACTTTTCTAATGAGATGAGTGGTGATACTAACAGATGTGATTTTTTTAAATATATTTTATAATAAAATGTATCTACGTTTGGAAAATCTGTATTAAATCAGCAAACCAGTGTTCCAGATAACCAGTGCATAATGTTACAGAATCATGCATGAGTGAAAGATCTATACAAAGGGTGGAAGGGACTAATGGGTTCTAATGTAACAGAATACAAAAAGTTCATTAATAAGGCCTCAGATTCCATAATACAACTAACTTTTTAGAACTACCACTTGTCGAGTTTTGTTGTAATATCAAAGAAGAATATTCACAATTATGCGAAAAGGCTATTAAAATACTTTTTCCTTTTCCAGTACATATCTTTCTTAAGCTGAGTTTTCTTTATATACACCCACTCCTCACTTACTGACACAGTTAGGTTCCAAAGACCAGACCATTATGCGAAAATCACCATTATGCAAAAATAGAGGATGACCACATCAGATGACAAAATGGAGGGTGACTACATCATTATATAACTGCCAAATTATATCATTATGTAACTGCCACACCACTGACAATCATGGCTCAGCCAAGTTGACACATAATGTTAACCGTTCTCAGCCAGAATTACTCTCACCTCACACCTCGGTGTTCGTTACTGCACAAAGTAGTCGGATAATAGATTTTTTACTGTCATCATAAATGTGAAATATTGGATAACAAGATAGTCGATAAATGAGGTGTAGGTGTTCTTCAATTAAAATAAACTGTTGCATTCAAATTGAGTGCATTTGCACATAGGAGAGTCCATCTGCTTCCTATTAAACCAGACAGTAAAGACGCTTGCAAAAATATAGAACAGTGCTAGTCTTTCAGTAAATTTTTCATTCTGTGTTTTTCCATTGAACAAATATTTATGTTAACATTTAATGGGTTCGTATTTTAATGAGTTAATAGTTGTTAAAGTTTCTCAGTGAGAGCAGTAGTGGTTCCGTAGTAGAATTCTCGCCTTCCATATTGGAGACCCAGGTTTGATTCCTGACGAGTGTACCTCAGACGCAGCCACCACTCGTGTGGTAGTGGAGGCTTGTGTGTTGCTATGATGCTGAACAGGTTTCAGCGGAACTTCCAGACTAAGATGGACTAGGAAGAAGGGCCTGGGATCTACTTTGAACATCAGCCAGTGAAAACCCTCTGGCTCACAGCAGTCTGATCCCGTTGTGTATGACATGGAGTCGCCGTGAGTTGGGGGCCAACTTGACGGTAACTGACAACACCACATTCTAATGTGGGAAATACTGAGAGATAAATCACACAAAAACAAACACTCTTTGCTTTTCCCAGGAATTTTTACAAGTGTAAAGGAGTCCTGAAACTAGAAAGTTTGAGAACCTAATGGTCTGTTGGACAGAAAGCAGACTTGCTCCCTGCAGCCAGCTTAGGTGGAAGCATTGTTTTCAGCATCTGAGTACTGACAGATCGGGGATGTATGCGTCAGCTTGCCCACATCCCCTACTTGTGGCTGCTTTGACCTGGCCTGATTTAATTGTCTGTTTCCTGCCTGACCCCGGCGCATTTGAGCTATACACCATGGTCTGGTGAACAGTGGAGAAGTGAACATAGTTTTGTATTATAATCATTCACAAGCATATCAAGTCTTCAGCTATGTTAGTCTACCACAGTTTTAAGGAGAAAGAAAAAAATATAATGCCCATTTCCTTTCTACCTGCTGTTTCCACATCTTAAAACTAACTTCTTGTTATCTATAGTTTATCTTCCTGAAAAGCAACTTGGTTTAAAGAACCTTGAATGTAATATACTTCATCCTTTGAAATTCACAACTAGGAAAAAAAAAAACAAACTTGAAAAAGTCACTGAGTTGTTAACCGTAGACTGTCAATAGATAAGCCATGAGTTAGCCTCCTTTCGGTGTTATTTAGTGACCATAAACAGTTACTGCGTCAGTGGCATCAGAAAGATTATTTTACTGTCTCACAAACTTTGGCCAGACCACACATCATCTTAATCTAAAAAATGGTTTTTCAAACCGTGGTGTATAAATTGCAAAGATTAAGACAGCATGGTTCCAAATGACTTTTTCTGTACTTCAGTTCTTTCATTCACTGACAAGGTTCAGTTTAGCAAACACTTACTTAATACATCAAAAGTGCAAGGGCACCATTTTTAGTAAAAGAATCATCCTTCAGGAAGGACCTTGAAGTTGTTTGACTTACAGGAAATTATGTGTGTGCTTTTTTGGTAAGAGACACAAAGGCCATCCCTGAAGGAGGGTCTTGTGCTGTGTCGTTCTAACCCTGTTAGAATGGTGTGTGTGTGCGCGCGCACGCACGCACGTGCACTTTCTGGCCTTAAGTAAGACACTTCAAGGATGTTATTATACCTTTTACTTTTTTACCTCAAAAAAGTAGTCCTATAAATTGCCCTGGTTTTTGATTTTAGAATATTTGCTTTTATGATCATTGGCAGACTTTTATACAGTTATGTATTCCTTTTAATGTGTCTTTATAAACACTTACATAGATACCAATGGAATAGAAGAACAGGAAAAGGAAAAGAGACGTCTTGTAATCGAGAAATTCCAGAAAGCACCTTTTGAAGAAATAGCAGCACAGTGTGAATCCAAAGTAAGTGGACAATGGTGATGGAGTTGGAGGTGGAGTTCAATTTTGTGGAAACTCTTTCTTGGTAATCGGTTGGTAGGTTCCAAGCTTTAGGCAAATTAAAAGAACACTAGGAAATGTGTCACACAGGGACCGAACTCTCTGAAGCTGTAGCTATGAAGCTTGAATACTTCCTTTGTGAAATGTAAGCTGTTGAAAATGGCAGATCCCAATGAGTCGGAATCGACTCGACGGTGATGCTTTTTTTTTTAAAACTAAATATTGATGGCTACTGCTGCCGTGATTTTTTTTGCAGTGGTTTTGTTGTGGGTATTTTATTCTGTGTGTTTGTTTCTTTGTAAAGCAGTGAGACTCTAGGAGAGAACAAAAGAGAAATATAAGTTCCAATATGAGGCTGATAAAGCCAAAATATTAAAGCATTCTGTATTATCAGCTTAAGAGTTAGTTATATCTTCTCCTTTAAATTATATTTATATTATTACATGTAAGTATTTGGAAAATAATAAATCATTTCTCAATGTCTTAGTTATCTAGTGCTGCTATAACAAATACCACAAATGGGTGGCTTTAACAAACAGAAATTTATTTTCTCACAGTTTAGAAAGAAGTTTGAATTCAGGGCACCTGGCTCTAGGGGAAGGCTTTCTGTCTCCGTCGGCTCTAGATGAAGGTCCTTGTCTTTTTGAGCTGCTTTTCCTGGGCGACCTTCGAGTAGCTTGTCATCTCTCTTCCCCAGTCTCTGCTAGCTAACTTGCATTTAATCTCTTTTATATTTCCAAAGAGATTCAAGATACACCCTCCACTGATCCTGCCTCATTAATATAACAAAGACAGCCCACTCCCAAATGGGATTATAACCATAGGCATAGAGGTTAGGATTTACAACAGATATTTTTGGGGGACAAGTTCAATCCATAACACTTTTTTTTTCTCCTTTGCAGGCAAATTTGCTCCATGATAGGCTTGCTCAAATATTGGAACTCACCATACGGTAAGGGTTTTGTTACTATAACAGCAGTAATACACAATAACAAAATAGAAAATGTTAGACTCCTGTAAAGTTGTGGCTGATTATAAGTGATTGTGCTTTTTGTTTAACCGTATGGTACATAAACAGAAGATTATATAATTATGTCTGTATCTCAGTAGTCATTCTGTTTACTGGGTGGATTCTGGTACCGTTTCTTGACCAGGTATCTTTTACTTTTCTAGCTTCTCTCTTTAGAGTGTTCATTCCTTCATAATGATCCTATAAGGAAGCCTGGGTAATTTGAAGACCCACATGCTAATATTATGTTTAACCAGGAAATTGCCCATATTTGACCATTTTTACTTGCAAAAACTACAGTTTAATGTGGTTTAACCTCCTGACACTTGCGAACTAAAATCAGGAACAAGGCAAGCATGTCCACTGTAACCGTTTCTGTTCAGCTTTGTATTGGAAGTCCTAGCCTGTACAGTAAGGCAGGAAGAAGAATAAAAATGTAAAGATTGGAAATGAAGAAATAAAACTACCTTTTCATAAGTGACATGATTGTGTATATGAGAATCCTAAGGAATCTACCCTCCCCCCTCCTAAAAAAAGTAACCTACTAGAATAAGTGAAATTAGCACAGTCACAGGATTCAGGATCAGTATCCAAAACTCAGTTATATTTCTTCTTGTTAGCAACAAATAATTGGAGATGGAATTTGAAAACATACTGTACTGTCCCCCATGTGTCTTGTCAGTTTGTTGTACTGTGGGGGCTTGCATGTTGCTGTGATGCTGGAAGCTGTGCCACCGGTATTCCAATACCAGCAGGGTCACCCATGGAGAACAGGTTTCAGCTGAGCTTCCAGACTAAGACAGACTAGGAAGAAGGACCGGCAGTCTACTTCAGAAAAGAATTAGCCAGTGGAAACCTCATGAATAGCAGCGGAACACTGATAGAGTGCCGGAAGATGAGCTCCTCAGGTTGGAAGGCATTCAAAATATGACTGCAGAAGAGCTGCCTCCTCAAAGTAGAGTCGACCTTAATGTTGTGGGGATGGAGTCAAGCTTTCGGGACCTTCATTTGCTGATGTGGCATGACTCAAAATCAGAAGAAACAGCTGCAAAATTCCATTAATAATTAGAATGTGGAATGTATAAAGTATGAATCTAGGAAAATTGGAAATCATCAGAAATGAAATGGAATGCATAAATATCGATACCCTAGGCATTAGTGAGCTGAAGTGGACTGGTATTGGCCAGTTTGAATCGGACAGTCATATGGTCTACTTTGCTGGGAATGACAGCTTGAAGAGGAATGGTATTGCATTCATCATCAAAAAGAACATTTCAAGATCTATCCTGAAGTACAACTCTGTCAGTGATAGGATAATATCCATACACCTACAAGGAAGACCAGTTAATATGACTGTTATTCAAATTTATGCATCATCCACTAAGGCCAAAGATGAAGAAATTGAAGGTTTTTACCAACTTCTCCTGTCAGAAATTGATCAAACGTGCAATCGGGATGCATTGATAATTACTGGTGATTGGAATGCAAAAGTTGGAAACAAAGAAGGATAGGTAGTTGGAAAATATGGCCTTGGTGATAGACACAGTGCCAGAGATCGCATGATAGAATTTTTCAAGACCAACGACTTCTTCATTGCAAATACTTTTTTTCACCAACATAAACAGTGACTATACATGTGGACCTCACCAGATGGAATACACAAGAATTAAATTGACTACATCTGTGGAAAGAGACAATGGAAAAGCTCAATATCATCCGTCAGAACAAGGCCAGGGGCTGACTGCGGAACAGGCCATCAATTGCTCATATGCAAGTTCAAGTTGAAACTGAAGAAAATTAGAACAAGTCCACAAGAGCCAAAGTACAACCTTGAGTATATCCCACCTGAATTTAGAGACCATGTCAGGAATAGATTTGATGTCTTGAACACTAATGACCAAAGACCAGACGAGTTGTGGAATGACATCATACATGAAGAAAGCAAGAGGTCATTAAAACGACAGGAGAGAAAGAAAAGACCAAAATGGGTGTCAGAAGAGACTCTGAAACTTGCTTTTGAATGTTGAGTAGCTAAAGCGAAAGGAAGAAATGATGAAGTAAACGAGTTGAACAGAAGATTTCCAAGGGCAGCTCAAGAAGACAAAGTAAAGTATTATAATGACATGTGCAAAGACCTGGAGATAGAAAACCAAAAGGGAAGAACACACTCGACATTTCTCAAGCTGAAAGAACTGAAAAAAAATTCAAGCCTCGAGTTGCAATAGTGAAGGATTCTACAGGGAAAATATTAAACGATGCAGGAAGCATCAAAAGAAGATGGAAGGAATACAGAGAGTCACTATACCAAAAAGAATTGATTGACATTCAGCCATTTCAGGAGGTATCATATGATCAGGAACCAGTGGTACTGAAGGAAGAAGTCTGATCTGCATTGAAGGCATTGGCGAAAAACAGAGCTCCAGGAATTGACGGAATATCAACTGAGATGTTTCAGCAAACGGATGTAGCCCTGGAAGTACTCACCCATCTATACCAAGAAATTTGGAAGATGGCTACCTGGACAGCCAACTGGAAGAGATCCATATTTATGCCTGTTCCCAGGAAAGATGATCCAACCAAATGCATAAATTATCGAACAATATCATTAATATCACACGCAAATAAAATTTTGTTGAAGATCATTCAAAAGTGGCAGCAGCAGTACATCAACAGGGAGCTGCCAGAAATTCAAGCTGGATTCAGAAGCAGACATGGAACCAGGGATATCATTGCTTATGTCAGATGGATCCTGGCTAAAAGCAGAGAATACCAGAAAGATGTTTACCTGTGTTTTACTGACTATACAGAGGCACTCAGCTGTGTGGATCATAACAAGTTATGGATAACATTGCAAAGAATGGGAATTCCAGAACACTTAATTGTGCTCATGGGGAACCTGTATACGGATCAAGAGGCAGTCATTTGAACAGAACAAGGGGATTCTGCGTGGTTTAAACAGGAAAGGTGTGTGTCAGGGTTGTATTCTTTTACCTCACCTGTTCAATCTGTATGCTGAGCAGATAATCGGAGAAGCTGGACTCTATGAAGAACAGGGCATCAGGATTGGAGGAAGACTGATTAGCAACCTGTGTTATGCTGATGACACAACCTTGCTTGCTGAAAGTGAAGAGGACTTGAAGCACTTACTGATGAAGATCAAAGACCACAGCCTTCAGTATGGATTACAGCTCAACATAAAGAAAACAAAAATCCTCACAACTGGACCAAAGAGCAACATCATCATAAATGGAGAAAAGATTGGGGTTGTCAAGGATTTCATTTTACTTGGATCCACGGTCAACACCCATGGAAGCAGCAGTCAAGAAATCAAAAGACACACTGCATTGAGCAAATCTATTTCAAAAGACCTCTTTAAAGTGTTGAAAAGCAAAGATGTCACCTTGAAAACTAAGGTGCACCTGACCCAAGCCATAGTGTTTTCAGTCACCTCATATGCCTGTGAAAGCTGGATGATGAGTAAGGAAGACTGAAGAATTGATGCCTTTGAATTGTGGTATTGGTGAAGAATATTGAATACACCGTGGACTACTAAAAGAATGAACAAATCTTTCTTGGAAGAAGTACAACCAGAATGCTCCTTAGAAGGAAGAATGGCGAAACTATGTCCCACATACTTTGGGCATGTTATCAGGAAGGATCAGTCACTGGAGAAGGACATCATGCTTGGCAAAGTAGAGAGTCAGCGAAAAAGAGGAAAACCCTCAAAGAGATGGATTGACACAGTGGCTGCAATAATGGGCTCAAGCATAACAACGATTGTGAGTATGGCGCAGGTAGGACCTGGCACTGTTTCATTCTGTTGTACATGGGGTCAGTATGAGTCGGAACCAACTTAACAGCACCTAACAGCAACAACAACTATACTGTAGCATAAAAAAGTAAAACATTAACCATAAATTTAACTGTGTGCTACCTCTATTATAAATACGAAACATTGCTGTCATGGATTGAATTATGTCCCCCAAAATGTGTGTCAGTTTGGCTGGGCCATGATTTCTGGTACTGTGTGATTTTCCTATATGTTGTAAATCCTGCCTCTATGATGTTAATGAGGGAGGATGGGTGGCAGTTGTGTTAGTAAGGTAGGACTCAATCTACAAGATTGGATTGTGTCCTGAGGCAATCTTTTGAGATATAAAAGACAGAAGTGAGCAGAGAGACAGGGGGACCTCATACCATCAAGAAAGCAGTGCCAGGAGCAGACTGCGTCCTTTGGACTGGGGGTCTCTGTGCAGAGAAGCTCCTAGTCCTGGGGAACACCAAAGAGAAGGCCGACAGAGAAAAAGCCTTCCCCTGGAGCTGATGCCCTGAATTTGGAAAGGAAATAAATGTCTCTTTGTTAAAGCCATCCACTTGTGGTATTTCTGTTGTAGCAGCACTGGATGACTAAGACAATTACTAAAAGAAAGATGTAAATAAAGAAAAAATATACCATATTCATGAATTGAAAGATTAAATATTGTTTACATGCTGTTTCTCACCAAACTGATCTATAGCTTTAACAGAATCTCAATCAAAATCTCACCAAACGTTTTTTGTAGAAGTTGATGAATTGATTCTATAATTTATATGGAAATGCAGAGTACCTGGAGTGGCCAAAACACAGGTTTGAAAGAGGTTTATTCTTTGGCAAAGATTAAAAAAATTATAATAATTTGATTATACCCAATATTTATAAGTGTATAAGAAAGCACTCAAATGCTGAAAATATAAATTGCAGGTATTCTGGCAATATGTACCAAGGTTGAAATTGTGAATACACTTTGACATAGAAATTCTACTTGTAAAACTATATAAACCAAGGAGACAGTCTGTCAGGATAAAATTATGTATAAGAATAGACTTGTGAGCATTATTTATAATAAAGAAAAATAGGAACTAACCTGAATTTACCCACAGGATTAAATCACTGGGGAAGATTAAATCATTTATGCTATATCCATAAAATCAAATACCGTGATGGTATCAAAAAGGATAATAGATAAGTATTATTAAAGGTTTATTTTACTAGTGGAACAGAGCAGCTTACAAGAATGGGTATATTGTATACATATATTCATAGGGAAATGTCTGTTTTAGACTTAAAAACAGCTTGACATATTCATAACTACTATGATCTATTTCCACCATGTGTCTGTCAGTTTTTTGTACTGTGGTGGCTTGTGTGTTGGGTGTGATGCTGGAAGCTCTGCCACCAGTATGTCAAATACCAGCAGGGTCACCCATGGTGGACAGGTCTCTGTGGAGCTTCTAGACTGACAGACTGAGGGATGCTGTGTGGTTTAATATCAGGAAAGGTGTGTGTCCGGGTTGTATCCTTTCACCGTACTTACTCAGTATGTATGCTGAGCAGATGATACAAGAAGCTGGACTATATGAAGAAGAAAGGGGCATCAGAATTGGAGGAAGGCTCATTAACAACCTGCGACATGCAGATGACACAGCCTTGCTTGCTGAAAGCGAAGAGGACTTGAAGCACTTAATGCTGAAAATCAAAGACTACAGCTTCAATATGGATTATACTTCAACATAAAGAAAACAGAAATCCTCACAAGTGGTTCAGTAACCAATATCATGATAAGTAGAGAAAAGATTGAAGTTGTCAAGGATTTCATTTTACTTGGATCCACAATCAGCGCCCATGGAAGCAGCAGTCAGGAAATCAAACAACATACAGCATTGAACAAATCTACTGCAAAAGACCGCTTTGAAGTATTAAAAAACAAAGGTGTCACCTTGAGGACTAACATGCACCTGGCCCAAGCCATGATACTTTCTGTCGCCTCATATGCATGCAAAAGGTGGGCGGTGAATAAGGAGGAGTAAAGAAGAATTGATGCCTTTGAATTGTGGTGTTGGTGAAGAATATTGAATATACCATCGACTGCCAGAAGACTGAACAAATCTGTCTTAGAAGAAGTACAGCCAGAGTGCTTCTTGGAAGCAAGAATGGCAAGACTTCGTCTCACATACTTTGGAAATGTTATGAGGAAGGATCAGTCCCTGGAGAAAGATATTGTGCTTGGTGAAGTAGAGGGTGAGCGAAAAAGAGGAAGACCCTTGACGAGGTGGATTAATACAGTGACTGCAACAGTGGGCTCAAACAGCTACGATTGTGAGGATGGCACAGGACCGGGCACTGTTTCATTCTGTTGTACAGAGGGTCGCTATGAGTTGGAACCGACTCTATGGCACCTCACGACAACCAATGATCTATTTCCCATACAGCTGTGTATCTGGACAGCAACAACATCACATTGATCACTGCAATTAGTGGGCCTTACTTTGCTGTTGGTAGATAGTAGGTAGAATGTTGTGTGAAATGAACAGGTTTTAAACATACCTGTTGACAGTGTCTTGTTCTTCTTTTACAGCCCTCCTCCAAGTCCATCAGGAACACTGACCATTACTTCTGGACATGCCCAATACCAGTCTGTCCCAGTTTATGAGATGAAGTTTCCAGATCTGTGTGTGTACTGAGTGGCTTGAGAAGACCATAGTATTTTAAAGCCTAAAAGTTAAGGCCAAGCTGAGTTTTCAGGGTTTGTTTAATGCATATGAACAGACTTCTTGAAAATAATGATGGAACTTATCTAACCAAATGCTTGGCATACCATATTAGAAATTGTGAAACTATGTATTATTTAGAGTGCTTCTGAAGAATACATTTATGCCGTGTTAATTTCTTTTGAGGTACCAGTTGGTTTTTAAAGTTGAACATATATTGGTCTTACAGTATTCCATCGTTAAACAGTATATTTTAAACTTTTCACAAACGTAATTTTTTAAAAAAACATAAGCCTTCAGAAGATTAAAAAATATATGAAGTGACTACTGTGTTTCTTAAATGTCTACACAACTGCTTAGACGTAGAATTGCTTTTTTGGTCATCTGCAAAAGCAAGTGCGTACAAGTATCCTCCAAATCCTGGGACTGCAGAACTCGTGGCTTCTGTCCCCAGGCGTTAGACAAGTTGTGATTAGCCTCCCTCTGTGTATTTACTGCAGTAATACGTGATAGGCATCCCTAAACTTGTTTCTGGTAATAAGACATCTATTGAATTAGTATTCCTTGAATATGACTCTAAAAATCACTGTACGTTAAATCATCTAGTTCTTCTAATACTGTGTTTCCTGCCGAGCATTTGACTATTCTACTTGAGAGGCTTAGAGCTTACTCTTGGAGTACCGAACTGTGCAATATTTTTTACATCATAAGATGTATTAGTTTACAGGCTATGCTTTGAAATTATAGTCGTATTTTGCTGTGGCTCCATTAGGTAAATGAGATATATATTTAGTATAGAAAAGAAAAAGACATTTTAAAACAGCTACTTGTTCACCTGTGAAGAGTCTGCACATTTCTATTTTTACTAAGAGCACATTAATTTACATTTTAACAGCTGGCATTGTTTTAAATCCTTATAATCAAAAACTTCCCCAAATGGACCTGTAGTTTGTAAGATTTGACAGTAACCTGTATGCATCTCTGTTTAGGATTCATTATGTCACATTTGAAAAGAGTGCCTATGGTTTTAGCAGTCAAGTTTGCCTAAGGATGGTCAATTAAACTGCAGCCGATTTAAGCTACAGATTATGTATAGATTTTAAACCTGCACTGACAGACCTATAGTGTTTTCTTAAAAGTATGTGAATTTCATGGCACAGTAAAAATTAACTTCCTTTGCAACTTATAAAATCTCTTAAGACATTTTTATAAAGACAACCTGTTTATAATCCTACCTTTTCAAATTAGATTTCTCTTTTCATAAAACAATAATAAACATAACACATGATAGCTAAAAAACCAGTTCATTTTTGGCTTTTGTTTTTGTTTGGAAAATCGCATTAAAGAATAGGATGTTAACAGCTCTGTTTATGATTATGTGGTATGTTTAGTAGAAACAAAAACATAGGAAAGTGATAATAGAACAGGCGTGCTCAAAAGAAGTTTTGAATACTTAAACCAGAGTACCCTGTTCTCTGGAAACATCTTGAAAGAGAGTCTAGTCACTTAATTCTGTGAAATGACAGTGACACATCCTGGACTGTTGGTTAAATGTAGATAAACACCATCTTGTGTTCAGAGTGACAGTGCCGTCCCCACTTGGGGGTTGGCAGCATAGAGCAGCGGTCACCTGACTTCACCCCCGATCGGGTAAAATGTTTCACCACTTAATAGACCAAGTTTTATTTTTATTTTTTTTTTTACTTTCTCTTTTTTTCTTCCGTTTTTAAAGAAGGATATTAATTTTCAACTGTTAATTTGAAAAAAAATATATACAGGGGGACATGCAAAACCAATCATCATCCACTTGGATGTCGTTTTATAGATTAACACTGTGTGCTTTTGTATGACAAAAATATAAATAATTTAATAGCATAAGAAAAGAAGATATATATTCGTTTGCACTCATGTGAAACACAAACTTTCCTCTACAGAATTTTCTTGTTTCTCTGAGATTTAAAAACGCATGTATTGCATGTAAAGGAAAGCCATTGTAATTAACTGTGTACCACACCTTTCTCTTGGTCTCTTTGTAAACTGGTGGTTTGAGTTGTGTGGGGGTCTTTTTGATTTGTTTGCCTTCAATCACAGTAGACTTCTATATATCCTGGATGACTGAACTGGTCTTGTTAACTGTGATTCTTGAGAAATGGATCTTTCCTTTGCCTTCTCCCTTACATGGATGCAAGAGATTCTGCAGGTAAGAGGTATGCATACTGTACTGTAGCCTGTTTGGATTTTGAAAGTTGTGGATTTGTTGAAGTTCACTGTATTGCTTTCTTTCCATATCTATTGAAAACTAATAAACTGTCGATCGTTCTCTCTTTTGCTGTATACAGTTGCTTGTATCATTTTTTTTCTTAGCATTGAATAGTTAACATTTTTAAATGTTCCTTCTGTATGTGTTGTATGTGACTGCTTGTATAGAGTTTGTCATTGGAGTTTATCTGAATACACACACACGCACAAATATACATACATATTTCCTTAATATTTAATAATACTACATTGTACCAGGAGTTAACTTCCCCCTCCCCAAAATGTTTCTCCTTTGCCTTCTGAAAATGGAACTGATTTGTCTTATTGACGCTGATATATGTAGTAAATGTAATGAATAAGTTTTTTTGAAATGTAAAAATTCACTGTGCAATTCATACGTAAGCAATAAAACAAAAATCAAATTACTGGTGTATAACTACATTTTTTAAATAACTATTACATTTATTGAATTAAATTTATTCAATATTTGCTTTAGTTAAAAATGAAGTGCTTTAATAAAAATGAAGTTGCCAAGTGGATTCATTTCCACATGCATTGTGAGTATCGGAGCCATGAGTGACGGTGATGATGACACAGAGCTGAGGCAAGGCCCACGGTGTGCGCGTGAGACAGCATAGTGACCATCTCGTCATCCGTCTTCATTACCACATTTTCAGCTCTGCCTCCTTGCTGTAGAAATTACACGAAGCCTCTCTTCAAAAAATACCACCACGAGTTGCTGTCGACTCATGGTGAGCCCATGTGTTTCAGAGGAGGACTGTGCTCCATAGGGTTTTCATGGCTGTGACCTTTCGGAAGTAGACTGCCCGGGCTTTCTTCCAAGGTGCCTCTGGGTTGACTGGAACTGCCAACATTTTGGTTAGTAACCAAGCACTTAACCGTCTGTGCCCTGCAGGGACTCTGCGTTAGAGTAGCTACTCTCTCTTCCCCTATGCCACTCTGGTTTGATTATCCTTCCGCTCTGTGCACGCCGATGGGGTTCAGGACTTCCTTTACTGGGCAGTGTAGCAGAGCAGTGAGGAGCACCAGCTGTGGGTTCAAATCCAGCCCCACCAATTCCTGGGTAAGTGGCCTTCAGCAAGGGCTGAGCTTCCTTTAGCCTCAAATTCCTTCTCTGTAAAACGAGCACAGCAAGTTCTGCCCTTGGAGAGGGAAGAGCGTCTGGTACAGAGTCAGCTTTCAATGAAGGTTTATTATTACTTGTACTGGAGTTCACCATCCTGAGACCTAAGGAACCTGGGCATGTCTCAGCTCTGTAGTCTCGGACCAGTCATTGCGTATTTTGGAACCTACTCCTTACATACAGAAAGAGCGGCCTGTGTGATAGGCTGTCTCTTAGGCTTGTTTCCAATTCTAACTTGGTATGATCCTGTTACCTGTTCTTCCATCTGATAGATCATTGGTCTCAAGTACCTAGTCTGAATGAGTGAAAAGCTGAGCTGAGGTGGAGCATCAAACTCTGCCAGATTAGCTTTCAGATGCCTAAAGACTATCCACGAAGATTCCAGTAACCATTCACGTGTATGAGTCTGGAGCCAGGGGAAAGGCCTGAGCCGGAAGGCATGCCAACATTTATAGGGTCGCTAAAAGAGGAGACATAAGCAAAGAAGCCTGAGGAAGACTGGCCAAAGAGGAGGGAACCAGGAGGATGTGTAGTCAGTGCAGACGAGGAAAAGTTTCTAAAGGAAGGAGCGGTCAATTTGGGGATGATACTGAGAGCTAAGATGACAAAAGAGATGTGACCATTACTTCAAGAGACATGGAAGTCGTTCACAACCTCGATAGGAACCTTCCTGTTGAATGATGGGGTTTACCAGATTGAAGGATGACAGTGAGAGTAAACATTTTTTTTCAAAGTTCGCAGAATGATGAAGAAAGAAATAGGGTAATATCTGGAGCAGAAATAGAGTTGGGCGGGGAGGCATTTGCATCCCCTCACCTTTCAGCCAAGGAGCCCTGGTGGTGCAGTGGTTAAGTGCTTGGCTGCTAACAGAAAGGGTGGTGGTTTGAACCTACCCAGTGGATCTGTGAAAGAAAGACCTGGCGATCTGCTCCTGTAAAGAGTATAGCCTAGAACACCATGTAGAACACAGTTCTACTCCATAGCACATGGGTTTGCCATGAGTCAGAATCGACTCGTAGGGTCGCTAGGAGAGTAAGAGGGATCTGCAGGAGAAAGACCTGTCGATCTGCTTCCATAAAGATTACAGTCTAGGCAACCTGACAGGGCAGTTCTGCTCTGTCACACAGGGTCACTGTGAGTTAGAATCGACTCGTCAGCATCCAACAACAGCCTTTCAGCCACTGGATAAAGGCTGTTTTCTCTTTAAATCAGGCCCCATCCCCAGGACAGGGTGATGAGTGATTCTTGATAGTGGTGGCCATGGCAGGTGGCCCCCTTCTCAAATCTAGGATGGGTGGCAAGTATATTCTTAGGGCACGTAGTAGACAAGCTGTCATCTCAGCCCCTGGAACAAAGCATATATCCTAGTGGGTTATTGGTGACCCATAGTGGTCTCAATAGGATTGATTAGATGTTTTCTACCTTTATATAGAGAGACAGAGAGAGAAGAAAAAGCAGTTTTCAGTGATTAAGAAATTGAGATATTTTTTCCACTATTGCCTCTGCCTTTGCAATCTATTCATGCATCAGTACCTACAATTAAACATTAAAAAAAAAAACCACACTCAGAGTTGATTGGCATATTTATTGAGTTTCCATAGTGCGCTACAGGAAGTACAGAGCTATCCATCATCTGCCTGCTCTAAGAGCACATTCGAATGTGAGCTGACAAGCGGATGACACTGAATGTGTACAAGGGTCTTGCTACCTCTCTGCCGTTTGAGCCTCTGCTAAGGCAGATCCTATTGTCCCACTGGGCAGATGAGGAGACTGAGCCCCAAAAAGGTTAAGGTAGAGGAGGAGCAGAACTACTTGGTTGCTTGCCATTTTCGACAGGAAGTTATGTCTCACGCAGTGGCCTGGTCCCAGCGGGGCCAAGTAACTTCTGCGCAAATCTTTTGGTTCTTCTCAGGCTCTCCCTGAGAGGCATGGCTTCCTCGCTGTTCTCTTCGGAGCTGGAGGCAAGGGAAGAAGCCGAAGGCCCTCCACGCATGCTGTTGTCACACAGTACCTGATGGCCCTGGCACTCCTGTTGGTTTGACGACTTGAGGCTTTGGTTAAAGAAGGCGGAGGCCATGCACTCGGCCGCCGTCTGGTCACAGGCACACAGAAGCTTCTCACAGAGGCTCTGCCCCACACCTGAGAGAGCAAGAGCAGGCATTGAGACAGGGTAGGATGGCAGTGAGGACTCCGTGACCTGCCTGGCAGCCCCTCCAGCCCTTCTTCACCCTCCATCTTGGGACCTCTTGGCATCCCACATACACTATCCCTCTGCTGGGAATATTCTTGACTTTCTCTTCCTCATTAACTCATACTTGTCTGTCAAGACTCAGGTTGACATCACTCCTCCAGAAAGCCTTTCCTGAGCTAGGCTAAATTGTCTTTCCTGTGGGCTCCCATAGAACACCGCTTTATGGTTCTTTCCATCACAATGGGTTACAGGTTGATCACACTGTACTGTAATCATCTGGGTTTCCACCTTTCCCTCTCGCGGGATGGAGAACTTTGGTGGCACAGCCTATGTGTCCCAAGCACCTAACTCAACCCTTGACGAATATTTCGCTAGTTAGCACTTAGGAAGTGTTTGTTGAACTCAACTCTTCTCTGGACCAGAGTTTCCCCATTCATCTAATGGAAGTAATAATATCTGTCTGCCCGATTTTAATCTTATCAGATAAAATATAGGATGCCTGCTTAAATTTGAATTTCAGATGAACAATGAGGTTTTTTTTTTTTTTCAATTTTAGCTAAATATGTTCCAAATACTGCATGGGACATACTTACACTACAATTCTATTTGTTGTTTTTCTGAAATTCACATTTAACTGGGTATTATATCTTTTTACTTGCTAAATCTGGCAACTCTATTTCTTTACTGTTTAAGTTGTGTGAGGGTGGGAATGGATAGTGTTTGTGTGACTCAAATGAAATAATGTGTTTAGAGGTGCTTAAAGATAGTTAAGCTGTCCGCTGATGGCATCCTTGTTATCTGTATTTTTCATTTTTAATGAAGCTAAAGCCTTATTTACTCTTGCATTTTTTTCTCCTGATCCTACCTCGAGGGGTTCATCAACCAGATTCTTCCCTCGCCACACACCACACAGACCCCCCTCCTCAACCCAGACACACTTGGTGCATTTTCACAGCCGGAAGAGAAGAAGGCAGGCAGGTGCAAGAGCGGGGTGGACGGTTGCACAGTCCCTGCTCCCCCAGAGCACCTCTGTCCTCCAGCTGAGACTCCCTTGCTCGTTAGCCAAAACCTGGTATGTGGTGCGGCTTGCGGTGCTCAGCTCACAGAGGGCCTGAGCTGGGAAACAAGCGCCGTGAATGTGGGCACGTTCAGTCGCAAAGCAAAGGCGTGCAGTAGGATTTCAGGCTACAAGTGTGGGTTCCTAGCCTCGGTACTGGGAGGACCGGAGGCTGGCCTCGCTGAGCAGGTGACACTCAGGGCATGACTGCATCACAGGACAATGATAGTAGTCTGATAGTGTCACTTGTGGGCTCTGGATGCAGCCCTGGCGCTCAGCCCCTAACGGACACGTGTAAACGTCCTAATCTCCCACACGGGCTCCTTTTGGCTCAGGAGCTGGGGCGGGTCTATCTTCCCAGCATCACCTGCGCCAGCACTAGTCCACCCCAGCCCCACTCTGTCCCAGCAGACCTGAGCCATCTGTCATTCCTAAACTGCCAGGCCTTCTCCAAACACCACATTTTTTCTTCTCCCTGTGCTGGGAACATCCAAGCCTAGAGTGGCCGTCTGAGGGCCTGTTAACCTCTTGTCAAGTCTCAGCTCACCACCTCTCCGCCCTCCCTCGTCACTGCCACCCTGCAGGCTCAAACGCCCTGTACTGCGCCCCCCTTGTGCTCTGTATGACATGTTAGCACCGATGACATGAGATTATAAATAGAGCCACTTCCTGTCTCTTCCCTCCAGGCTGTGAGCGATTTGAGGCAGGGACCGTGTGCTTTCACTGTTTCCCAGTTCCAATGAAGCTTGTTGCATAAGTGGGTAATTGAATGAGTGAATGAATGACACGGAAGCTCATAGCTCTGGCATTGAGAGGCGTACACAATCGTACAAGGCAAGATGGTGTGGAGGATTACACTGCGTGCTGAGGGAGCGCGGAGGAAGGAAGGAGAAGTGAAGACCCAGCCATAAAAGGAGGAAGAGGACAGCCCTTGAAAAACGCTGGGGGATGAGGAAACCAGGCGGGGAATTAGACAGACAGGTCTCAGCTCGCTGTAATCTGCACATGCTCATGGAGTCATGGTGCTCCCCAGGCCGGTCCCTGACGATGCAGAGGAGCCTCGGGCTGCCATAACATGGAGGTGGTGGGGCTTCAGGCCCCAACTCTCCATCCAGAGCCACTCCCCCATTTTATGGGGTTCCTCAGAGCATCTCAGTTGGGAAAGAGTTTCAGCTTCTTAGGAAAAATTACCTCCTCTGTAAAATGGGGATAATCATAGTGCTAACTCACAGGATTTCTGTGAGGATGAACTCTATTAATACATGCCAAGGGCTTAGTACAGTATACAGTAAGAGTGCAATATGTGTGAGTAATTTATATTGTTCCTGGTCTACTCATAACTAGCTTTGTGACTTTAGACAACTGCCTTAGCCCCTCTGAACTTGAGTCTCCTCTTGAGAGGGATGTCGTTGTTGATGTTAGTTGCTGTCAAGTCAGTTCTGACTCATAGGGACCCCATGTGTGTGGAGTAGAACTACTCCATAGGGTTTTCAAGGCTGTGACCTTTTGGAAGCAGATTGCCAGGACTTAACTTTGGTGGCGCCTCTGGGTGGGTTTGAACTACCAACCTTTTGGTTAGTAGCTGAGCACTTCACCATTTGCACCACCCAGGGATTCCTCTGGAGTGGGATAGGGGTAATAATACGTTCCTCAGAGTTACGAAGAGGATGAAACCACATTATCTATGAGAGGTAGCTTGGGAAAGCCCGCATAAGCCTGAGCTGTTCTCACGATGCAACCAGGAGGAAAGCGACCACTCACTGCGCGAGCTGACAGCACTTACACTTGGGTGTACGATCCACGCACGCCACCTGTGACCGAGGAGGCCTCTCGAGCAGACAGCCCAGCGTCTTTACCTGCTCCAGGCAGCAGTGATGGAACAAACAGCACCTAAGACGAAGGAAACCCTTTACTGCCCAGAGCTCCCAGCTCCCCAGGAGCCCCCTCCATGCCTGCTTCTCCCACACTCCCTCTAGTGGCGAGAGAAGCCAGCGCCCCCTTTCCAGTGCATATAGCGCTGACTCATACATATTAAGGGCCACTAGGTATGGTTGTCTGGGTTGTGCACTGCAAAAAGACACCACATCTAACATGGGATCAATCACACCGTAGGGGGTGTGACTTCAAAGCTAGGAGATAGGCGTATTTATTACAAGTTTCCCAACAGAATGTTCCTCAAATTCATCTCTGGGTGGAGTCCTCCCTGGTGTCTGTTGCCCCTAGCACCAAGCGCTACACTGGTGACATTTTCCTGTGGAGTCATCCATCTCTCTCACTACGTGAGCTCCTGTCGAACAGAAGCATATTTGTTTTGTTCTACTTTGTTTAGTCTTCATCATTTTTGTATCCCCACCACCTAGCACAAAGTAAACATTCAAGAAATGCGAGTTGAATGAACATGTAAATGAATGAATAAATGAATGCATGAGATCAGCAAAAACTCCTTCAAGAACGGGAGATATATATTGAGCAGTTACTCTTAGTTGTTGAAAGCTAGCTTCACGGTGGCCTGCTGCAGGGTAAGCCAACTAGAGACCCCAGTCCTGCATGCTGTCCATTGCAAAACAATTTGCTGTCATCCAAAGTGTCTTTGCAGATCGGCACTCTTACAGGGCCATATTTGTGGTTGAAAGAGTTCTAGACTCGAAAATGAAAAGCTTTGGACCACCATCTGCCTCTACCTAAGCTGAATGCCCTCACCTAAGTCAGCTTCTGAGCTTCAGCTGCTCATCAAGAAGATGGGCACAGTAATGCTGATGAGCCCCCAACATGAGATAACACACCCAACAAGCTGTTTGTGAAGCCATGTGAATGTAGAGGAGGGCCGTGCCTGCAGAGGTAGGCAGCGTCAGCACCACCACCTGCCCCTCCACCCACTCTGCACGTACCAGTCCAGAGCATCCCTTGGGTCACCATGTCCCTCTTGCCCACAGTAGCAGCCGTAAGACTCAAACTCCTCCGGACACCGGGTCGTCAGGCAAAAGAGCATCTCCCCAAGCTGTGGCATCACCCACGTGTGGTCCCCGCTTCCCAGGTGCAGGAAAGTGAGCCTGTCACAGGCTGAGGGAAACCGTGACTGTCAGGAGAGCAAGGAACATTGGCACAGCTTCCCTGGGAGGAGGCTAATGTTCCAGATGGCATGGTTGTGTAGGGAAACCCATGTCCTGTGCCTCGTACCTCAGTTACTGGCAAACCTTTCTACAACAAGGCCCTCGCAAGTCCTTTCTCACCAGGCTTCTCCCCTGATAAATCCCTCTAAGGAATGGGGACTTGGTCAGAACCAATGTCCTTTGAGCCACACTTTCTTAGTGAGTAGAAAAACTGGGTGTCTTCCTGCCCCAAGCCCTGGCAGGGCCATGTGTCCTAGCGGAGTCCTGGCCATCCTCTGAGGCTTCCTGGCTCCATCAGGCTAGCACACCCAGGGGGGCTGACTTGGGAACAGATCTTGTCTGTGATTTTCTTTCTCTATCCCTGTCTCTCGACCTCCTCTGCCTGCAACTGAGGGTAAGTTAGGCTGAAGCCCTCAGTGCAAACCCCATCATCATAGAGTCAGTTGGGCAAGGACTGAGAAGCAAGATGCCTTGGTAGGGGTCCTGGCTTAGCCACCCTCTCAAATCCAGCTTCCTCTTTGTAGCTCTGCATTGGATATGCGGAGAGCTTGCCCAGATATTAACAAAGTCCTCATCTGTTTCCCAACTGGCTATGGTTCCTTGTGGGTGAAGATCCTTTTTTTTCAGAACCAGAGGGAGGAGAGACAGTGGGAAGATTATTAAAACCCAAGCACTTCATCCTTTCCAAGAAACCATGGTGTGGACGATGCTGTTTTTTCTCCTGCTGGGTGGGTAGAAGGAGGAGTGAGAGAACACCAGGTGGAGGACACTGGGTCCTTCCCCAGGCTCAGCCTCACCGTAGCTGAATGTCTGCACCAAGTCACGCCCCTCTGAGCTTCCACCTGCTTACGCAGTAAGGGTGATAAGAGGAGGCGGTCACAATGCGATACCGTGGCCTAAAGGGCTTCGGTAACGCCCTAACCAAGGCATGCCAAGACCGGGAGAGGCAGACCCTCTGCTCACCTTGTCCCGTTGTCTTCTCAGGACCACTTTTGAGGGATGGCACATCCAACCCCAAAGATTTAATACCGGCGGGGACAATGGTGACACCTTTAGCCGTGGCGGCAATCTCTGCAGATCCTGAAAAAGCACAACTTTATGGTCCATATTCAGGATAGGTTTGCGGATGGACAAATGGTCAGTGGCAGATGGAAAAACGCAGGCTTCAGGAGAGTGTTCCCCAGACTGGGGTTTACAGGCATCAAGACAGATTCTCAAGTATGAGTTCTACGTGAGAATTTTCTATGATAACCTAAAACAGGAGCCTGTTCTAGATCATCTGCATGACACCTCATGGACGAGAACCGTCGCAGCCTCTCAGGCCCATGTCTGTGTTCCATTTAGTGCCATGTGATGCCACGTGAAGGCCAAATGGCATCATGGTTCTCTCAACAAGGGGTAGGTAAAAAGAATGGTGGAAAAATGAAGTCAACCCATGAAGCACGATAATAAAGGCGAGCAAAATTCCTACACAAACCCCTCTCCTTCCTTGCTCAAAACACCACAACAGTTCCTCATCGTTCTAAGAAGTCAGTGCTAGGTCCTCACCATGGTCTGTTAGGCTGCGTGTGGTCTGGCTGCCTTCATCGCCAACCCCATCTCTTGCCCTCTCGCAGCACCGTCTTGACCTCATCCCACTTCCGCTCCTAGCTGGAGGCAGTGAAATATCCAGCCCGGACTGACCCAAGCTCAGTCCCCTGAATTGCAGTCTTTCCCCAGTTCCGCCATATTGCCTTGCTTCTTACAACTGGTCTTCCGCATCTTCTTGTTTAATGTTCCAGTTCCTACAGGACTAAACCCCTATTGCAACCTCAGTCTCCAAGGTTAAACACCCTGCCTACCTCTCAATCCCACAAAGAGAACTGGTTTCTTTCCACCATGATCGCAATGACTAGAAACTCATGGAGCCAGGGTAGCAGAGAAGGAAGAAGATAGTTTTAGAGTGAGAGGAATCTGAGTTTCAATTTTAGCTCAGACACATCCTTGATGATATAGACTGTATCACCTTGGGCAGATCATGTAGCTTCTCTAAATCTCAATTTCTTCATTTGTAAAATGATATTACCTCTTTGGGGGTTTGGAATAATCTGTCTAGCTAAATGTCTAGTGGAGAAGAAGCAGTCAATAGTAGCCATTAGGATCACACAGTGAATAAGAAAACATCTAATGTGGAGTTAGACTCTCCAGGTGGAAGATTTTATAACAACGAAGGTTCCAGAGCCCACTGTCTGCTCCCTGCTGAGTCTGAGGCTCCTGCTAGGAGCCCTCACCTCCTAAGGAAGAACTTTCTAGATTATTGATGCTGATCAAATTTGTGATAGCTTCACTCCCTGTAAGGTTTCTGGGTGGCACAAATGGTTTGCTCTCAGCTACTAAACTATAGGTTGGCAGTTCTAACCTATCCAGCAGTGCCATGGAAGAAAGGCCTGGTGATCTGCTTCCATAAAAGATTACAGCCAAGAAAACCCTCTGGAGCAGTTCTACTCTGTAACATATGGGGGGGCCCCATGAGTCCAAATTGGCTGGAGGGAAACAGATTTGGGGTTTTCTGGTTGTTGTTGTTTTGGTTTGGTTTTTACCCCCTTTAGATGAGGCTATTTTGTATTGATCTCCTTGCCTGGCAGCCTCTCCATTCAAATCAATTTCTCTGGGGTGGATTCTGGCTTCCCTTGTCCCTCTCGCCCCCCACAGCAATAAGGGCATAGTGCATTGCAGGGCAGAGGCTTCCCACATCTCAGGAGCTCTGTGCTAGCACTGACCCCCACCTAATTCGTTCAGGATTTGAGAATTCTCTCCAGGCCTGGCCAAAGGGTCCCAAAGTCAGGGGCCAGCTAGCTCAGCCCAGGTCCTAAAGCACCTTCAGTCTTCATCAACGGAGAGAAGGGGAAAAAAATGAGATGCCATTTTTTGCCCATGAAAATGGGTTCAGGCTTTCTATTTGCTTGTTTCTAAATAATAGTATCTATGAGTTGGAATCAACTCGATGACAACGGGTTTGGTAACATTGGAAAGAGTCCTGGTGGCTCAATGATTAAACACTCAGATGCTGAACTAAAGGTCAGTGATTTGAACCCACCAGCGGCTCCACAGGAGAAAAGACCTGACTATCTGCTCCCATAAAGATTACAGCTTAGGAACCATATGGGGCAGTTCTACTCTGCCTTATAGGGTTGCTATGAGTCGGAATAGGCTTGACAACACACAACACCTAGAAATGACTACAAGGACAAGCATATGAAGGTAAATTCGTTGAACTTTTCTCCAGGGTAATGTGGCAACATATCAAGAGCCTGAAAATGATCATACCCTTTATCTAGTACTTCAACTTCTAGTCATGTATCCTAAAACATTAATAAGAAGTGGATGGGCATAAAGAAAGTTCGTATCTATTATTTACAATAACAAAATGTTAGAAATAATTGGTTAAATAAATTATGTGGCTCCATATAGGGAATTATTACCCAGCCACTAAAAATCACGCTACAGGAAAACGTTTAATGGCGTGGGAGCAACACCATGTCATACTAGTGACACATTGCAGGCTGTAAACACATAGCCACTAAGTGATCTCCAGTTCTTCTTATTTATGTCCACAGAGATGCTTGGGGGGAAAGGACTGGAAGAAAGTGTCTTCAACTCTTAACAGTGTTTGTCTTTAAGTTGTGGAATTACAGATGGTTTCAATGAAAACCAAATATAGTTTTCTGGGTTTTTCCAAATGTATCTCTTTACCAGATATGTTTCCATTTCTTACTGATAATGGGTCTATCCTTTCATTTCATTTATCCTTTTCTTTCGTTTCTTTTTTTTTTTTTTGGTAAAAGTAAATTGGCTTCAATGATTTCTTCCATTTTTGAGTTTAGCGTATTTTCTCCAACGCTACTTTAGAACACACTTGATCTCATAATTTTTTTTTTTTAACTAGTTACCATTGAGCTGATTTCAACCCATGATGACCCCATGTGTGTCAGAGTAGAACTGTGCTCCATAGGATTTTCAATGGCTGATTTTTCAGAAGTAGATTGCCAGGCCTTTTTTCCCAGGTTCCTCCGGGTAGACTCGAGCCTTCAACCTTTCGGTTAGCAGTCGCGCATGTTAACAGTTGGCACCATGCAAGGACTTCCATAAATGGATGGGGCAACAATATACAGAATGGCAGGAGAAGCCACAGTGCCCTTACCTGGAGGAGATGTGGCCCTAGCAGCTTCTATGACTTCCAGATCTCGGCCTGGTTCTGCCCCCAAAGAAGAGAAGCAGGGTGAGCAGTGAGTGCTGATCCCAGCCTTTCCCACCTGGGTTTCCTGAGGCAGCTCCCATTGGGTGACCCTGGCTCCACCTCCCATTGTGAGCTTTCCAAGGAAAGCTAGTGACAGCTGGGGCTTTGCTGAGCCAAAGGAAAACCCCAGACACAGCCTGCCGGGCAAATGCAGCGGCAACACACCAAGCTGGAAGCAGGGGAGTCCACTGAAATACTTCAGGAAATTCAGCCTCTCCAGGCTTTGAGTGGGGTGGCAGGGAGGGGGAAGTTAAAAGAAAATCATGTTTTTTGAAAAGTATGTTTGTGGAATGGAGAGGAATTCAGTACAGAGGCAGCCAGGCTGTGCGCTTCGAGTCTCTTGCTCTGAGACTCTATGAACACTGTTGCGCCTCAGTTTTTCTGCCTGGAGAATGAATATTGTCGTTGCATTGTTCAGCAGCTATTAAGCTCCTACTATGTGCCAGACAGAGCCCTGGTGGCACACTGGTAAAGAGCTTGGCTGCTACCAAAAGGTCGGCAGTTTGAATCCACCAGGCGCTCCTTGGAAACCCTATGGAACAGTTCTACTCTATCCTATAGGGTTGCTATGAGTCGGAATCGACTTGACGGCAACGGGTTTGGTTTTTTATGTGTCAGATATGGAGTCCCTGGGTGGTGCAAATCATTAACACACTCAGCTGCTAACCGAAAAGTTGGAGATTCAAGTCCGCCCAGAGGTGCTCAGAAGAAAGGGCTGGTGATCTACTTCTGAAAAATCAGCCACTGAAAACCCTATGGAGCTCAGTTCTACTCTGACACACATGGAGTCACCAGGAGTCAGGGTCAAATCAACAGCAACTGGTCTGGTTTTTCATCTACACTTATCAATAGAAGATTCATGGTTATTAATCACCACCAGTTAAGCACAGTTAACGGTTAGGTTAATTCTTCTGATGAAATCTTGACCTAGATATTTTTAGATAAGAGATTGCTCTCCGTTGAGTCACTATTGTACAATGGAAAGAAAACAAGTCTTACAGCCTCAAGGATGGGGTCAGAGACCAGAAAACAACTTGTTTGCTGTGTGGCTCAGAACTATTAATCTCCCAAAGGCTCAGTTTCCTACACTTTCTGTAAAATGGGTCTAACAATATTTATTCTCGGCTCTGTCAAAAAGTGGTCACCAGAAATTGGACACAAATATTTAGATGCTGTTTGTCCACTGGATTCCCGGCTGTCCTCTTCCAGAATCCCCCCCTGCTTACTTGTCCTTGAGGGAGTGGTCGGTCCGTCAGCTCTGGCCTCCCCAGCCACTGTGGAAAGAAACCACCAAACTTCAGTGATCCATCCAGCTCAGTGCCTTGGCCAAGCAGGGGCTGTTGGAAATGCAGCAGGCTGGGGACCCCACAGACTGAAGAGAGAAGAGCCCGCAACAACACGGGTATGTTGGTGTTCAATGAGGTCTCCCTTGTTGGAAAAGAAAGGAGCCCTGGTGGTGCAGTGATTAAGGGTCCGGCTGCTAACCAAGAGGTCGGTGGTTTGAACCCACCAGCTGCTCTGGAGGAGAAAGATGTGGCAGTCTGCTTCCGTAGAGATTACAGCCTAGGAAACCCTGTGGGGCAGCTCTACTCTGTCACAAGGGGTCACTATGAGTCGGAGTCGACGGCACCTAACAACAATTCCAGCGAGTAGCAGATGACACAATCAAGGGGGTATTTGGGTTACACGCCAACCCTTTCTCTCACCTTCTCCTGAGAGGGCTGTCAGGCTGGGGTCTGTGGGCTCCTCAGGAACTGCTGGAAAAAGAGAGCCCCCAACAGCAATGAGTGACGCAACACGGTGTCAGAACCAAGCACAGAGTCTCCAGGGAGAACAGGCCGGGGTAATGGCGAACCGAGGACCGGGACTGTGAGAAGGGCTGTCAGCAAAGAGCTTCCTCCTGCCCTAGGGTGCCCCCTCCTCCCCTCCAGGGTGCTTAGCAAGGTCCCCGCTCGGGAGGGACCCCACAGCCAGTGCCCGGTGCAGGTGGAGAAGGCAGACACTACTGGACGCAAACTGAAGGCCCTGAACGAGCTGCAAAGGTCTGTGGCCGTGGAGTCTGATGTCCCAGCTTTGAGAAGATGTTCAAAAGGGAGGCAGGATGGCAGAGAAGAAAGAGCACTGGCCTCAGAAGAGACGCAGAGATACACGTGTGCACACACACACACACTCACGCACATGCAAACATCCCACCCATGTGCACACACACACATACACACACACATACACTCATACATGCACACACCCACAATACACACATGTACACACACACACGCACACACTGCACAATACTCATATGTACACACTCATACACATGCTCACACACACGTACACATGCACACACTCATACACCATATGCACACATCTACACACACACACGTACATGCATGAACACTGTGTGTGCATACGGGGACACACTCATACACACATGTGCACACGTACACGTGTATACACACTTATACACACATGTGCACAAGCACCCCCCACCCCATGTACACACACACACACTCCCACCTCAGCTTCCTGTAACAAGCACGGCAGGACTCAACCTGGGAAGAGATCCAGCCCCGGGAGAGGAGAGACACACTGCCTAGGTGCATCTCTAACTTCCAGTCTCCAGGTGTCCCAGGTGTGGGGACTGAGAGTTTGTGGCAAGTTTGGTGAATAAGGAGTCACAGGCATAAACTTAACTGTCACTTTTAGAGTTAGGGTCACCACTTGCTTAGATCAGTGACCAGCTATGAAGAGCCGACCCTGTCCTGCAAAGAGTCACGTGGAAAAAGCTTCCTCTTCCCAGATCCTTCATCCCTCCTTCGGACCCAGGCTGCTCCTTTGTTTGCAGGCTCTGGAGGGCGCGTGGGGAAGGGGAGGAGGGGGAGGGCAGCAGGCCTGCTTCTGGGAGGTCCCCCTGCCCAGAGCATGCCTGGTTGGGAGGGGCAGGGCTCCCTGGGGAACCAGGCCCAGTCACACAGCAGCAGGGCACACCAAGCCTGTGACCTTAAGAGATATGGAGAGAGGACGAACTTGGGGCTTTCGTCCTATCTAATCTTGTTCAAACCCACCCACGTAGCAAGTACCAGGGCTTCCACTGGGGCCATGACAGTGCGGGTGTTTGAGTTGGGCTTATCAGAAGGAATTGTATCTCTTGGCAGGGGGAGAGGGACATCTCTGGTTGCTCCCAGCCCAGTGAGGCAGGTTGGGTAGAGGAGGTATATCCACTGCCCCCATCACCAGTCTGGCCTCCTGTGGCCAAGTAAGAGCTGGCTTCCCAGGAGGCCTCACCTCTGGGCAGAAGGGTTGTCAGATCTTTCCTGCTGGTTGTCTCTGGAAAATAAACCCGTTGGGAAGGTCTGTTAGATGGTGGGTCTGGGGGCAGGTCAGAGGGTGCTGGGCTTGGCATCTGAAAGTACCTAGTAATGGCTGGCCCCATACCAGCTCCTGCCCCTGCTTGCCAACCCCACCCCTGATGCAGTCCCCGTTTTTCCTACCTGGAGTCTGGGCCAGACAGAAAGAGGGGTCCAGGTGGTTCAGGGAGGAATTGATGCTGGAACGGGCCAAGCACTCTATGGCGGCTTTGTCACAGGTGCACAGGAGGTGCTCACAAGTGTCCTGGGACGCTACACAGAGCAAGGGCGGAGGAGGTTGGCAAACCCCAAAACCGAACTCCTGATCTGCCCCACACAAACTCATGCCTCTTCCATCTTCCTCATCTCACCAATGCCGGCTCCATATTTTCAGTTACTCAGGCCCTTGGGAATCAGATTCATGCCTTTTCTCTCACACTCACACCCAATCCGTCCATGAATCCACATCTCCCCAACAGCAGGCTACCAGCGTTGGCCAAGACACCATCATCTCTGCCTGGGTTATGTTAATGGCCTACACACTAGTCTCCCTGCCTCCACTCTTGCTGCCCAGTCTATTCTCATTAAAACACAAATCAAACCATGTTCTTTGTTGTTACTGTTGCTAAAAATGCTCCAGTGACTTCCCAACTCAAAGTAGAAGTCTGTGGTCTTACTGTAGCCTGGAAAACGTTACATGATTTGCCCCCCACCACCCCTTTTTCCTTCTCGAACCTCATCCCCTTCCATCTTGCACATCACCCCACTTCCATCACACTGGTCCCCTTATTTCCCAAACACACCAGGCACCCTCAAGCCTCAGGGCCTGTCCACTTGCTGGTTCCTCGGTCTGGATTGCTCTCCTCCCAGTATCCACCTGGATCCCTTACGGCCTGTTTACATCTTCGCTCAACTATTGTCTTCTCAGGAGGCTTCCCTTGTTCTTCCTACTTACATAGGAACCCCACCCCAGCCCTCCGTCTCCCTTTTCCCTGGTTTGTTCCCCTCCGTAGCTGTTGGATTAGCTAACGTACTACATCACCAGACAGTCATGAAGATGTTGCCATTAGAGATGATGGCTAGCAATGATGACCACAGGTGATGATGACCCTGGGAGCCCTCAGCCTGGTCAGACCTGGGATTCATGGGCTGACATTTCTCAGCCCAGACCCCTGGGCCGCCTGGAGATGCTCACCACATGTGATGCTCCTGCTGATGCAGTTGACATCTGTGGAAAGCTTGGTGGGCTCCTGGAGGCAGTCCATCTCAGCAGCCTCCTCGTAGCACCTGCGGTGCTGGAAGCAGCAGCTACGGCAGGGCAGGGAAGGGTTAGGGCTAGAGCACGAGTTCGGGCTGGGAGACAGGCAGGCAGCACGTGATCATTCTGCCGTCTCCGGGTGGTCCCTGGCAGTGGTCTATTTCAAACATTCAGTGCACACGGATGTGGGTGCAGGTGCACACACACACACACACACACACACACACACACACACACACTTTGACAGCTGCTAGTTTACATCCTTTACAGCCAGACTGGTGATGCAATGATGAAGTGTTCGGCTGCTACGTGAAAAGTGAGCAGTTCAAACCCACCCAGTGGGTCCATGGGAGAAAGACCTGGTGATCTACTCCCGTAAAGATTACAGCCTAGGAAACCCTATGAGGGAGCTCTACTCTGTCCTAAATGATCGCTATGACTTGGAATTGACTCGATCGCACACAACAACAACAGCCAGACTGAGTCAATTTGCGTCCTGGTTCCCCTAATTCTCAGTGACTTTACCTTACCTGGCACTTAGCTCTCCCCAGTGTAACTTTATGAGGCAATTGTCATTGCCATCTACCACTGAGGAAACCGAGCCTCAGAGATTGGCCCTCATATGAGGACTCTTGATCATGCCCAGGGACTGTTCTGAGCCCTTTACATGTGTAAGCACACTTAACGCCCATCACAATCCTATGAGTGAGGCTGGGTTATCCTTAGTTTACAGACGAGGAAGCTGAGGTACAGAGAGGTCGGCAACTTGTCCAAGGCCTACACAGCTACTGGGGGCCAAGCTGGGGTTGCAGGCAGGCTCAAAGCTTAGCTTTCAGCACAACCGCCTTTCTGAAGGTAGTGACTGAGTGGGCTGGAAGCCAGGGGCACCCGCCCCCAGCCTGTGCTCCTTCTCCGGCCCTCAGCGGCCTCCCCTCCCCCCAAGCATCAGCGTGGCTTTGTTGTTGTTGTTTCTTAACCGTCATCTGCTGGACGGTGTGCTCCTCTCTGGAGGTTGGTGCAGTCATGGAGCACGGGAGGGTGACGACGGGGGGCTGGGCAATTGCCCCCTGGGCCTTGTGGAAGCTGAGATTCATGAGCTGAAGCCCTGCCCCCATGGTCCTGGAGGGATGGAGCCAGCCGGGTACGAAGAGCCTCAGGCACAATGTCAAGGGAGGACCCCAGTGCTGAGCCTGGAAGGGTTGAAGGTGGGGCCTGGTCTAAGGGCAAGGCAGGAGCCCAGGAAACTCTCATGGGAACACAGGCAGAGCAGGACCTGACTCAGGCTGGCCAAGGAGCTCCTGGACTCAGACATCTAAATACCCCCTGCTCTGTAGTTGTCATGGATTCAATTGTGTCCCCCAAAAATTTGTGTCAACTGGGCTAGGCCATGATTCCCAGTAGTGTGATAGTCCACCATTTTGTCATTGGATGTGATTTTCCTATGTGTTATAAATTCTACCTCTATGATGTTAATGAGGTGGGATTAGTGGCAGTTATGTTAATGAGGCAGGATTCAATCTACAAGATTAGGTTGTGTCTTAAACCAATCTCTTTTAAGATATAAAAGAAAGAAGCAAGCAGAGAGACATGGGGACCTCATACCACCAAGAAACAAGAGCCAGGAGAATAGCTCGTCCTTTGGACCCTGGGTCCCTGTGCTGAGAAGCTCCTCGACTGGGGAAGACTGATGATAAGGACCTTCCTCCAGAGCAGACAGAGAGAGAAAGACTTCCCCTGGAGCTGGCACCTTAAATTCAGACCTCTAGCCTCCTAGACTGTGAAACAATAAATTTCTGTTTGTTAACGCCATCCACGGGTGGTATTTCTGTTACAGCAGCAATAGATGACTAAGACAGTAGTCATCATGATCATTCTTATCGTTATAGCAGCTAACATGTGTTGAGTGCTTACCATGAGCCAATCTCTGCTCCAAGTGCTATACATGTATGAGCTCATTTAGCCCTCACATAGGTCCTCTGTCTCAGCAGGCACCATTACTGTTAGCAGCATTTACGTATGTGGAGACTGAGGCCCAGAGGGCTCTGTAACTCGCCCAAGGTCAAGGTTGGTCACAGAGCGAGGCTGATGCCGAATGTGGGAGGTCAGGTGGCACCAGCAGTGGAGATAAGAAGGCAGTGGAGACAAAAGTAAAGAAGAAGAAAAAAGTTCAGGCTGTAACCTTGAATAAGTGCCACCTAACTTACAAGGGGAGCTCTGGTGGCACAGGGGTTAAGAGCTTGGTTGCTAACCAAAAGGTCAGCAGTTCAAATCCACCAGCTGCTCTTTAAAAACCCTATGAGGCAGTTTTACTTTGCCCTATAGGGTCGCTATGAGTCACAATCGACTTGACGGCAACGGGTTTGGTTTGTTTTTAACTTACAAAAGGTAAGAGGGCAGTGGTAGCTCAGTGGTAGGATTCTCGCCTTCCATGAGGGAGACCCGAGTTCGATTCCTGGCCAATGCACCTCGTATGCAACCACCACCCGTCTGCCAGTGGAGACTTGCATGTTGCTATGATGCTGAACAGGTTTCAACTGAGCTTCCAGACCAAAATAGATTAGGAAGAAAGGTCTGGTGATCTACTTCCAACAATCAACCAATGAAAACTATATGGATCACAACAGTCCGACCCGCAACTGGTCGTGGGGGTGGTGCAGGACTGGGCATCGTTCCGTTCCATTGTGCGTGGGGTCACCGTGAGTCGGGGTGACTTGATGGTAACTGACAGCATCAACTTGTAAGGATTGTTTAGATTTAAGAAAACATCTACAGAGACCCTGCCACCCTGTAGGTCCTCACGGAATGGTGGCAATTATTTTGTTTCAGAATCTGGTGTGCAAGTTCAAGACAGGAATGTCCTGTCCTCCAGGAGTTTGGAAATCTCACCCCCAACAATGGAACCGTGTAAAGTCATTGAAACTGGGTGCGACCCACCAGCCTGTCACTTTACCGACATTGGTGCTTCCATCATTCCTTTTGGGTTGGAGACAGTATGAAGTACTGCTTCATTTCTTTGACTTCTAGGTTTATAAGGTGTTTTAATAATTAAGGGAAGTGGTGAGGGGAGACCCGACAGGGAAACGTGCCTAGAAATGGCCCTGGCACCATGCCCCAGGGCCTCTGTCTGAATGCTAATGATTGAGCTCGAGGCATTGGTGTGCTCATAGCCCCTGAGATAGGAAACTGCCCCTTAGCTTGAAGGTCTGGAGGTGGGCAGATTTGTTTTTTAATTCCAAAGCCTTTATTTCTTGCCAACCAAGGGTATGTCGCTTTTTAATTGATGTTTATTTTGAATCTCTGAAGAGCAGCTGGTGGCCAACTGACCAGTCACTCACTCAGTTTATTTACTGAGTGTCTAGCAGGTGTCAGGGACTCTGGTCAGTGCTGGGCAAACAAAGAAAGAATAGAGTACAGGCCCTCCCTAGAGGGACATGGGGTCAGTGGGGAGGCAGATGGTGAACACACACTCCCCTGCATGGTAGGTGCAGGCGAGGGAAATGAAGGTGTTTGGGAGCACAGAGGTTTGCCCAGGTGCCTAGGAGTCGAGGCATTCAAAGAAGCGGTCCTAGAGGAGAAAGACTAGGGTAGGTGATGAGCTGTGATTATATTACAAAGGGATTCCTTCCCTCCTTCCGTGAATCCATGAAGGCCAGAGCGCACACTCCATCACGCAGACTTAAGCACAGGTCTAATACAAGTCCACCACCCATCTGACAGCGTGTCAGCCTGCGGTGGCCTACACGTTGGTGTGATGCTGGATGCTCTGCCACTGGTATTTCAAATACCAGCAGGTCACCCAGAGTGGACAGGTTTCAGCAGAGCTTCCAGACTAAGAGAGACTAGGAAGAAAGGCCTAGCAATCTACTTTGAACACTAGTCAATGAAAACTTTATGGATCACAACAGAATACATCTGTCTGATGTAGTGCCGGGAGATGTGATCTTAGGCAAGTCAAGGTCTTCCATTATACGGAAGGTCACCATGAGCTGACTCAATAGCAGCTAACAAGGTAATCACAGTGGGGTGGGGACATAGTCCATGGAGTACAGTCGAGACCTGGGTTCAATTGCCTGCTTCTATTTTGTTGCTGCTGCTGTTCCTACTACTGCTACTATTACTACTACAACCCTACTGCTGCTGCTGCTGTTACTACTGCTACTACTATTGTTACTCTTCCATCTCTACTACTGTTACTATTGCTACTACTACCGTCTTTATTATTAGAACTACTATAGGCCTGCTACTACTGTTACTGCTGTTGCTGATACTACTGCTACTTCCACTGTTACCATTGCTACCGGTTACTAAGACGCTTGAAAACTTAACAAGCCAGGTAGAGGCCCAGTCACTTTAATTGAATTTGGTCATTTAATCTCAAATAACAACTCTATGAGGTAGATACTATTATTATCTTCATTTTATAGATGATAAAACGGTAACACAAGAAGTTGAATACATTCCCTAAGGTCACAGAGTAAATAGAAAGTAGAGAATTGGAATTGCTAGATCCTAGGAAATATGCTTTACAATTTTAACAGATACCACCACATTTCCCTAATTGGCAGATGTTCCAATTGACCCTTCTACTACCAGTCCCTGTTTGTCATATCCTTGCTAACCCTTGATGGAAGGTGAGCCCGTAAGTTTTACTGTCCATCTGATGGGGCTCTGATGTCACTCTGCACTTCCCTTGTATGCAGGGAGGTTGCACATCTCTACGGGCCACTGTATTTTCCCTGGATTTCTCGGTATTCGCCACCGGACTCCCACCTCCTTGCAGCTCTGATAGTGCTCTGTTTCTCTTGGGACAATGTTCTTACATTGTTGGTGCTTGGTGCGTGTTTGTTGACAGTTGGACACAAGCCCCTATAGTTTCTTTACCCCTGGTGGCATTCAAGGGGCTATTTATTCAGGACAGCTCTGACTGAAAAATAATTCTCCAATTTTGTTATGCTTGCAAACCGCCTGGGGATCTTGTTTAAAATTCAGACTTCCAGGTTCTCCTTAAAGTCATTCTGAGCCCAGGGGCCTCGGAGGGGGTCTCAGGAATCTGCATTTTAAGAAGTATCCAGGTGTTCTGATCCAGGTGGATCTAAACTTTGAGAAACACTGAAACGGAGCTTTGCATCTCAGACATGACATTGGGTCCTGATAACGCCCTCAAACATGAGCAGATCACAGATCACAGTCTCATTTGAAGGATGAGGAAACCAGTCACCCAATGGTCAGTAACAGAATGAAGACTTCTCCCGAGTCCCAGTCCAGGGCCTCTTCCATGTCTGCGTTCTGCCCAAGGCATCAACCAGGCCCCCGTGAGCTCCCCTTCTGCTCTTGCTCACCTGTTGATCTCTCTCACCTGTCAGACTCGTCCACCGGCGGCCCTTCCATCTCAAACCTGCAGGCACAGCCATAGTCTTCCAGGTCCCGGGGGCAGAGGCCAGCGACACACTTCATACCGTTCACAAACTGGAGCAAAACGGGGAAGTTGGTGAAGACAGCCTGCAGCCAGGTGAAGTGGGAGCCCAGGCAGTCTGTGAGAGGAGGAAAGAGAAGAGGCTGGTGGGCCTGGGAACCAGAGTCCAGGAGGAAGCCCCAGTCCCTGGACTTCCTGTACCTTGGGTTGATGATCACCTCAGAAGGCTTGACATGCCTTTCGCCATTAACCTCCTAAGCAGCTACCGGGCACTCAGGACCATTGTGGACAATTGAAGGAAGCAGGTTTATAAGTCACGGTCTCTGCTGGTTACCACAGCCGTTTTATCCCTTCTTCCTTACTAACAAAACAGAAAAGTACTCAGGGAAGCTGAGCCTTCTCCCCCAGTCCCTGGGGATGTTTCTTGATAATTCTTAGCTTGTCATGGTAATGTCCTGCTTCCGTGCCAGTGATTGGTCTAGGGCTGAGAATGTCATCCAGACCTGGCTAACAAAACTTAAGAGAAACCTGGTAGGAGCCTCTGGGAAAGATTTTGTTCCTAAAAAAGAGGACAGGCATGTAATACGAGGATCCTTTTTTATCTGCACTTTTCTTCATCCTTGAATGTGGGTGAGGATGTGCTGGCTGGAACTACAGCAGCCACCTTGCCACCATGAGGCCCCAAGCCAATAGTTGAAAATCCAACACGCTCAGGGAAGCAGAGAGGAAAGAAAGCACCAGCCTGCTGGGTCTCTGACACCAGTGTCGAGCCACTGCACCAACCCAGGTGCCTTCAGGCTGTTTATTTGGTGAAATAATTGTGTTTATTATTTAAGACACCATTAATTGGCTGAATACATCCTAAGCGATCCAGTCTGGAGAGTCTATAGCCCAGAGAACTATAAGCCCGTGTAGGAGGAGAAGAGGTACAGACACTCACAATATTTGAGTGCCTACTCTGTGCCAGGTGCTTGGTGGATAAAAGTCGTTTCAGATTTAACTTACCGAAAATTTCGGCCACACTTTCCACATTTTTAAACGTGCCATCGAAGAATGTGGTATCTAAGGAGAAGGAGAAGACACATCAGCAAGCCCTAGTTTCTTTCCTGCTTGCCCTGCCCACCCCTTGGGTCAAGCGTAAGCAAAACCCTTTCTCCTTCTCTAAGGGCAAATTTGACCTTGGGCTAACTTTCTGTGTTACCCTGGAAACCTCATGACGTGAAATGTAAACTGTTACTAGGCAACATTGCTCAATGGCAAAAACGCCCCCTGGTTGGTGAGGTGTATCTGGACTGCGAGGAACTATGGATGAACTATGAACTTTCAGGTGGGATGTCCTTACTCCTTTGGAGAATGAAGCTTCTCGGATGGCGATGCCCTGTGGGCATATGTGTCCTGACCTTCATCCCTCTAAGTGCCAAGTGTGACCTGTGAGTCTAAATGTCTAGTTGAAGAGGACCTCTTGTTGGGCATTGCACTTCCCATGGAGGTTATGCCATTTGGAGAGAGCCCACTTGTCCCTGGGTTCTGGGTGGGACTTGATCATTTAGCTTGCATAGGCTCCTGGACAAATCGTTCGTTTGACTCAGCTCACCTCTCTGAAAGGGGTAGTAATCACCCTTGATTCAGGCTGACATCACCAGCTAGTTCACCACCCTTTATGTTCTTTAGTGATGCCCACTAAGACCTACCTGACAAATCTTTAAACTACAGCACCAGAACCAGGAAAACTTCCCCTTCTGTAAGGAACAAACGTAGCTTCTTTTTCCTCATAACCAGAGCATTGCAATACATCTCTATCCCTTTTTGTCCTGCCTTCTAGGGAGCTCAGAGCTCCATTCGATGCTAAAATCCAGGTACCATATTGATGCTCATGACCAGCATGTTTACTTCCCTATCCCGGTCTCCTTCTTTGGCTGCCCTTTGCCTTTTGATGGGAGCTTTCAGCAGTTAGTCTCAAAGGAGTGACCAATGGTGGAGTCTCAGGTGCCACGGGAGGCCCTCAGGGGAGACGTCTTTGGGTCCCACTTGAATCACTTGACTTACAAATGCCTCTGCAGTAAATGACTCTTGATTATATTCAGAAGGGGTAATTTCCTCTGGCAATATCCTAGGCAAATCTCTGCCCAGCTAGATTGCCTAAGGAAAGGTCAAAGAATCCTTACTGATATTTGCTGAGGGTCCCGGAGGCAGCTCCTGAGGCAGATTCGGTGTGTCCAGAGCGTGGCCTCCTGTAGATGAGGAAGAGATGAGAGGAGAGCAGGGTTAGCGCCGCTGCCACCCACCCACAGAGCCAAGGCTGCGAGATGGCAGGCAGGAAGGCAGAGGGAATGCATTTAAATTCCAACCATGCACCATTTTCTAGAACCTGTTCTGTGCCAATCTATGCGGTAGTTGCTATAAGTCGGAATCGACTCAGCGGCATCTATCAACAACAACACAGTGCCTGCGGTTAGTCTGAAATGTCTAAAGATTTTTGCCTTTCTTCATTAAGTGGTGAATTCAGTCAGAGGGATCCATTTGATATCGTTTGGAACTCCTGCCAATCTGAAAGCCACAAAGGGTTAAGTCTTAGTTTGAACGTCACCACGTGGAAGTCATTCCTCAATCCCTCCCTCTTCAGCCCCCTCCACTCTGGGGGCCTCTGGAGGCACCTGTGCTCTGAGCTCCATCCCCTGCCCCCTCCTTGTGACCCCTACCTACCCCAGCACTGCCTACACTGATTCTCAGGGACTTGTCATTTCTTCTGTTAGACTCTAAGCCCCGAGGGCAGGAGCCTCATCACTGCTGCAGCTCCAAGGCCTGGCTCATCACGGAACAATTAGAATCTTAACCATATTTGTTGAGTGCATTCTAGGAACCATGAAGAATAGCTTGGAAGGGCCGAGACCCAGAGCCCAGAAGTACCTGAGCTGAATGCAGTTGTCCAGGACAGGGAAAATAGGGGTCCAACTTAAGACCCGAGATGGCAAACTCATAGCAGATAAAGTAAACAGAGGAGCGGCTCATGATAGGAAGCAATAGGGAGTGGTGGGGACTGAGGAAAAGAGAGATCCAGGTCACAGGGGGAGGGCAGCTGTGGCTCAGCCCAGGCCTTGGGCAAGGAGCACACCTATGACCTCATCTTTGGATTTTTCAAAACTTGGTGCAAATCTGGATTTTTGTAAGATCTTCCAATTTTAAACTCTTGTATCAAAATTAAAATTAAATGCTGGGCGGATGAAACAAAGCACGGCTGTAGGCTGACTTCTGTTTTGACGGTGAAAGGCAGGGGTCCAGGCCACGGCTCCTCTCTGTCAAATTCTGGAAATGGTTCTCAGGCCGGGGGAATCCTCTTGCTGAGTGTCCTGCAAAATGCCAACATTCGGCCAGGGGGGAGACTCCATTTGACGTCCTATCACAGAGCCCATAGAGTTGCTCTGGTGCACTTGGCATTTGGCATAATTGCCTTGGAATCTGTTTAATTAGCACGAAAGCCTATGGCTAAGAATGTCTGCTGCACACTTAAGCAGCAACTGAAAGACATTGCCTGCTCCTTGACAATGTCTTCACTCCAATTCCTTTCTTGCAACTGGTAATTAAATTCCCCATCTGGATGGGTGGGAAATGATCTTATTACCCGTATGTGCTAATGCAGAATGCTTTCTCCTCCTCCATTCCTGCCTACTTCCAGGATATCAATGCCCACACCTTTTCATTAGCAGCTAAAAAGGTCACCTTGGATTTTAAATTGTTTATTCCAAGGAACTGAATTAGTTCATTGGCAAAGGCCAAAAAAAGAAAAAAAAAAACAAAACCCATTGCCGTCAGGTTAATTCTGACTCATAGTGACACCAGAGGACAGAGGAGAACTGCCCCATAGGCTTTCCAAGGCTGTAATCTTTACGGAAGCCAACTGCCACGTCTTTCTCCCGTGGAATGGCCAGTGGGTTCAAACCACTGACCTTTTGCTTAGTAGCTGAGTAGGTAACCATTGCGCCACCAGGGCTCCTTTGGCAAAGGCCAGAGCGGGAAGAAGGATGGTCAGAGGCAACACAAGGACACAGTTCACCAGAAAAAGACAGATCTGTATTCATTAGTTTTGTTGTATAAGCGGGAAGGTAACTAGTAACCTTATTGTTCCAGGTACAGAGCTTACTGCATCTCCTCATCTGACCCTCTCCCCAGTGCTGTGAGGTGAGAATATTACTACTATTTCACAAACTATGAAACTGAGACTCTTCAGACCTATCAAGTCCATTATGACTCATGGCAACCCCGTGTGTTACAGAAAAGAACTGCTCCATAGGGTTTTCTTGGCTGTAATCTTTAGGGAAGCAGATCACCAGGACTTTCTTCTTCGGGCAGCTGGGTGGGTTCGAACCACCAACCTTTAGGTTAGTAGTGGAGCATAAACCGTTTGCACCGCTCACGGACCTCTGCACATAAGACTTTCCTTGATCTGGCCCCTGCCTACCTCTCCCGGATCATCTCCTACCCAGTCCCCCCAGGAACTTTACGCCAGAGATGCCGTAAAGCTTGTATTATTGTTTTCTAGACTTTTCAAACTGCCTTTTGTCAACTAGCCTTTGCTTGTATGAGCCCTCTGCCTGATGTGCCCTCCTCTGTGTCTGCTCTCTTTTGTAGTACTGACTCTTAATGATTTTTTAAGGTCGGCAGTTCGAATCCACCAGCTGTTCCTTGGAAACCCTATGGGGCAGTTCTACTCTGTCCTATAGGGCCACTACGAGTTGGAATTGACTTGGCGGTAATGGGCTTGGTTTTTGGTTTTTCTTCCAAGTTGAAGACACCTTAGCTGACCCCTAACCTGGGCTGGGTGAGAAAGGCTCCCCTGCCCTCCCATTGCACCATGGGCGTTCTTCTTTCATTGCACTTATATACAATGTTGCAATGATCTGGTTATGTAACCATCTCCTTCCCTAAACTAGGAACTTACTGAGGGAAGGCACTATGACAAATTTGTCCTTGTAGCCTTCTATAGCAGGAGTTAAATTAATGTCTGCTTAATGAACAAATGAACATAGAATTTTCTTTTTCGTTGCCATCGAGTCGCTTCTGACTCATAGAGACTCTATAGGACAGAGTAGAACCGCCGCACAGAGTTTCCAAGGAGTACCTGGTGCATTCCAACTGCTGATATTTTGGTTAGCAGCCGAGCTCTTAACTACTGTGCCACCAAGGCTCCGAACATGCAGTAGCTGAACTATATCACTGAATTGTCAATGTATCAACCAATAGGTGAAATGGCCTTCTGGAATCACAGAATCCTAGTCTAGTAAACTAGGAATAAACTTGCCAGATAATGGAATGATAAGGACTATTAGTGGTTATGGGTGGGATTTGACAGTATTAAGTGTTCTACCCAGAAGACCAACCAAGAATGCACAAACGCTATCTGTGCCCAGCCCTGTTCCCAGAGGTTCTGGAAGGAGATAAACAAGCAGAGGACGATGGAAACCAACACATGGCTTTGTGATGTGGGGCTGGTGGAGGACGCTCCAGTGCAGAGCCACTGGTAAAGGGCGCCTGTGGTTTAGTGCAAGGTCCAGGGGTCTGTCCCCTCCTATCACACACTTGACCACCAGCCTGCCAGTTAACTCCTGCAGCTGGATTTAACCAGCAACCCTCAAGTGAGGAGAAGAAAGAGGGCAACAACTGTCTTGGCTGTGTTGAGGGAGCAACAGGGAGGCAGCTTCCAGTCCTGCCACAGGGCACAGACACCCTCCCCATTGTCAACATGGGAAATCACCAAATCAATACCATTTACAATAGCCCTGAAGAAGATAAAATACTTAGGAATAAATCTAACCAGAGACATAAAAGACCTATACAATGAAAACTCCAAGACACTACTGCAAGAAGCCAAAAGAGACCTGCATAAGTGGAAAAACATTCCTTGCTCATGGATAGGTAGACTCAACATTGGGAAAATGTCAATTCTACGCTAAGCGATCTACAGATACAATGCAATCCAGATCCAAATTGCACCGGCATTTTTCAATGAGATGGAGAAACAAATCACCAACTTCATATGGAAAGGGAAGAGGCCCGTAATAAGTGAAGCATTACTTAAGAAGAAGAACGAAGTGGGAGGCCTCACACTACCTGATTTTAAAACCTATTATATCGCCACAGCAGTCAAAACGCCTGGTACTGGTACAACAATAGATACATAAGCCAATGGAACAGAATTGAGAATCCAGACATAAATTCATCCACCTATGAGCAGCTGATATTTGACAAAGGCCCAAAGTCCGTTAACTGGGGAAAAAACAGCCTCTTTAACAAATGGTGCTGGCATAACTGGATAGCCATCAGCAAAACACTGAAACAAGACCCATACCTCACACCATGCACAAAAACTAACTCAAAATGGATCAAAGACTTAAATATAAAATCGAAAATGATAAAGATCATGGAAGAAAAAATAGGGACAACGCTAGGAGCCTTAATAATGGCATAAACACAATACGAACCATAAGCAACAATGCATGAGCACCAGAAGAGACTAGATAAATGGGAGCTCCTAAAAACCAAACACTTATGCTCAACAAAAGACTTCACCAAAAGAGTAAAAAGATAACATACAGACTGGGAAAAGATTTTTGGCTACGACAAATCCGATCAGCGTCTAATCTCTAAAGTCTACAAGATACTGCAAAACCTCAACAACAAAAAGACAAATAACGCAATTAAAAAAATGGACAAAAAGGTGGACTTCCAGGCAACATGGCACTATAGTCAGAAGCACCAAGCTGTCCCTCCACAGCAAAGATCCGAAAAACTAAGTCAAACAGAGTCACACATCAGTCCTGAAACCCTAAGCGTCAAATGAAGAGATAAAGAACCTAGCCAAGAACCAGATGGCATAAGAAACTGACTGAGAACAGAGAGCGAGGAGAGATACATGCAGAGGTCCCCTATCAGCTATCGCAGCATGGATCTGCCATCTTGGACTCCTATTGAAGATCAGCAAACGGGAGTATGACAACGCAGCTTCACGGATCTTCCAGCAGGAGACAGAACAACTGGTAACCAACGATATACACTTTCCCACTCCCTACCCTTCTTCACCCCCACTCGGCCTCCTCTGCTTCCTTCAGTCACAGTCTCTTGTCCAGGAAGCACCGGCTTCACCCCTGTGTCGTTTGGGTTCCACCCGCCCATACTGGCCGGCTCCCTGAGTGCCATTTGTTGGCTGCTGGTGTTGCTTTTTTCTGCTTCATTAGAT